GAGAATTGTGTGTTTACTTACCCGACTCATTTCCAGCTTGAAGCCAGTTTACCAATTTTCTTGATGGCCGAGCTTTTCACAGGTCATTCTGATCCTTTACATATGATTGATAAATCCAGTGTTTTTGTTATTGTTTACTAGAAACAAAAAAAAACAACATTGAAAAGTCTTCGTCCATAAAATTGGCGTTCTGTGGGATGTACCTTTATATTCATTAACATGAGTTTTACCTCTATATTCATGAACATGTTTTTTTGTTTATTTTGATTTCCGGAAAAAAGCAAATTTAATGGCTGTAACATCAGGACTGATTTGAAAACACCCATCCCAAAAATTCTTACATGCTTTTGCCCATATTAAAAATTCCTCTATAGCTGCACACTCGTCTATTAAAAATCATATATTCATAAACTACTATGCATATTCTGAAAGGCCTACTTTCACCTTGAGTATTTTTTTGTTAAGAAGAAAGGGCTGTTATCCTAAATAGGCATATGCCACATTGAAACATTATACCGTATTTTTCGGAGTATAATATGCACCGGAGTATAAGACGCACCTTAGTTTTTGGGGAGGAAAATAAGAAAAAAGCTGATTGGCAGGTGAATCGGCCTCCCGGAATACTCCCAATCAGCTGTTCCCAGAGGTGAATTTTAGCAACAGGTTCCTTGGTTGTGAGCTCTGTGCCTTGCTTTTTTTTTCTGCCTCTAAAACTTCTGAAACTCTGTTTCAGAAAAAAAGCCTCTGAAGCTCTGTTTGGGGGCTTCATTTCTGAAGCTTCATTTCTGATGCTTTTTTCAGCCTCTGAAATCTCCATTTGAGAAGCTGAGTGGGGCCACATTCAGAGTTTAAGACGCATCCAGATTTTCACCCTCTTTTTTGGGGGAAAAGGTGCATCTTATACTCCAAAAAATATGGTAGTTACTTTGACAGGTAACTGCAGCTCTCTGAGCTTGGTGGTTCTTTTGTAGATAGATGCTCATTACCCAAACTAGGTAACAGCTTCAAGATCACGTGAAGTATTAGTATCACTTTATAAAACCTTAGTAAGATTACATCTAGAGTACTGCATCCAGTTTTGGTCACCACTTTACAAAAACGATGTTGGAAAAGTGCAGAGAAGAGCAAGTAAGATGATTAAAGGCCTGGAGGCTAAAACGTATGAAGGACATTTCCAGGAATTGGATATGACTAGTTAGAGAAAATGAGAAGTAGAGGTGACATGATAGCAGTATTTCAATGTTTGAGGGGCTGCCACAAAGAAGAGGGAGCCAAGCTATTCTCCAAAGCACCTGAAGGCAGGACAAGAAACGATGGAAACTAATCAAGGAGAGAAGCAACCTAGAACTAAGGAGAAATTTCTTGACAGTGAGAACAATTAACCAGTGAAACAATTTGCCTTCAGAAATTGCAGGTGCTCCAACACTGGAAATTTTAAAGAAGAGGCTGGACAACCACTTGTCTGAAATGGTATAGGATGTCCTGCTACAGACCTCCAAGGTCACTTCCAACTCTTTAATAATCAAGTAATATCAAATGATGTTACCTAATTTGGTAATGAAACATCTACAAGAAAACCAACAAACTCAGAGAGCAACAAGGACCCCTAATTTCAACTGAGAGCTACCTTTATAACTCTGGGTTGAAATGAAGGGGCCTTGCTGTTCTCTGGGCTTGGTTGTTTTCTTCATTGGTGGTTACTTTGCGAGCGGTTCAGAATTACCTTAATATGGATGCCATATACATTTATTAAATACAGGTATTTAGTAGTCTCGACTTACAACAGTTCATTTAGTGACCATTCAGTTACAACGGCACTGGTAAAAGTGATTTATGACCATTTTTCACACTGGCCTTTGCAGCACCCCTCATGATCATGTGATTTACATACAAATGCTTGACAACTGATTCATATTTATGACGGCTGCTGTGTCCTGGGGTCATGTGATCCCCTTTTGTGAGCCAGATTTGCTTAACAACCATGTTGCTAATTTAACAACTGCAGCGATTCACTTAACAAAGGTGACAAGAATTGTAAAACAGGGCGAAACTCACTTAACAAATTTCTCACTTCGCATCACGACTACCTGTGAGCTTTAGACACGTTCCACAGGGAAGAAGTTCCTAAGATACAGACACCTGAATTTTTCTCATGCTTCCTAGAGCTGATCCCCGTTCTCATTGCCGGGCCGGTGTTTTACACAACACACCAACACAAGGGAACTGTGGTTTACTTATCAGTTGAATTATGGCTTTGCAGGACACACAGAACCGAAGCCGATAATGATAGGGGTCCCACTGCCCACATTCCGAGGAAACATCCTGTAGATGGGCCATGTTCACATGATTCAGCGATACCCCCCCCCCAAACCAGCCAAGCGTCCTTTCCGTGGGTCTGTTGTGGGCAGGATTTGTCCCACCTGGTCAACCCCCCAACGTGATCTGGGGCTCCCCAAGGCGTTGCGAGCTAGGCTTGAGAAGCCACTGTCCGGTGGATCGGCCCCCCTCATACACGCTCACACACATACACAGAGCCTTCAGAGAGCCTTCACACACAGCCTTAATACACACACACACACAGCCTTCGCACACATGCAGCCTTCACACACTCACAGAGCCTTGATACACTCACACACACAGAACCTTGACACACACACACACATAGCCTACTCACACACACATAGCCTTCACACAGAGAGCACAGCCTTAATACACACAGAGAGAGCCTTCACACACTCACACACAGAGCCTTCACACACACACACACACACACAGTCTTCACAGAGGGGCTTCACATACAGAGCGTTCACAGCCTTAATACACACACACACACACACACACACACACACACACAGCCTTCGCACACATGCAAATCTTCACACACTCACAGAGCCTTCACACACACACACACACACACAGCCTACTCACACACACAGAGCCTTGACACAGAGAGGCTTCAGAGCCTTAATACACACTCAGAGCCTTCACACACTCACACACACAGAACCTTGACACACACACACAGCCTACTCTCTCACACACACAGAGCCTTGACACAGAGGCTTCAGAGCCTTCACAGCCTTAATACACACACACACACACAGAACCTTCAGAGGCTTCACAGCCTTAATACACACACACAGCCTTCACACACTCACACACAGAGAATCTTCACAGACACACACACACAGCCTTCACATAGAGGCTTCACACTCAAGAGCCTTCACAGCCTTGATACACACATACAGAGAGCCTTCACACACTCACACACAGAGCCTTCACAGCCTTAATACACACACACACACAAAGCCTTCACACACACACACACACACACACAGCCTTCACATAGGAGTCTTCACACTCAGAGCCTTCACAGCCTTAATACACACACACACACACACACACAAAGCCTTCACACACACAGCCTTCACATAGGAGTTTTCACTCAGAGCCTTCACAGCCTTAATACACACACAGAACCTTCACACACTCACAGAACCTTGACACACACACACACACACAGCCTTCACATAGAGAGGCTTCACACTCAGAGCCTTCACAGCCTTAATACACACTCACAGAACCTTGACACACACACAGCCTACTCACACTCACAGAACCTTCACATACAGCCTTCACACACACACACACACACAGCCTTCACATAGGAGTCTTCACACTCAGAGCCTTCACAGCCTTAATACACACACAGAACCTTCACACACTCACAGAACCTTGACACACACACACACACACACACACACACACACACAGCCTTCACATAGAGAGGCTTCACACTCAGAGCCTTCACAGCCTTAATACACACTCACAGAACCTTGACACACACACACCTACTCACACTCACAGAACCTTCACATACAGCCTTCACACACACACACACACACACACAGCCTTCACATAGGAGTCTTCACACTCAGAGCCTTCACAGCCTTAATACACACACAGAACCTTCACACACTCACAGAACCTTGACACACACACACACACACACACACACACACAGCCTTCACATAGAGAGGCTTCACACTCAGAGCCTTCACAGCCTTAATACACACTCACAGAACCTTGACACACACACAGCCTACTCACACTCACAGAACCTTCACATACAGCCTTCACACACACACACACACACACAGCCTTCACATAGGAGTCTTCACACTCAGAGCCTTCACAGCCTTAATACACACACAGAACCTTCACACACTCACAGAACCTTGACACACACACACACACACACACAGCCTTCACATAGAGAGGCTTCACACTCAGAGCCTTCACAGCCTTAATACACACTCACAGAACCTTGACACACACACACACACACACACACACACACACAGCCTTCACATAGGAGTCTTCACACTCAGAGCCTTCACAGCCTTAATACACACACAGAACCTTCACACACTCACAGAACCTTGACACACACACACACACACAGCCTTCACATAGAGAGGCTTCACACTCAGAGCCTTCACAGCCTTAATACACACTCACAGAACCTTGACACACACACAGCCTACTCACACTCACAGAACCTTCACATACAGCCTTAATACACACACACACACACACACACACACACACACACACACACACACACAGAGCCGGCGCGCCTAGGCCCCGACGCCCGCCAAAAGCCGCCTGGCTCGGGAAGAGCCGTGAGGCGGGAAAATTCCGCGCGTAGGCGGAGACCGGCCGGGCAGAGGCGGCGCCTCCCCCTCAGAGATGGGGGCCGGTGAGTCAACTGAGGCCTTTTGCGGCGAGGGGGGGACCGAGTAGCCCCCTCAGGACACCGGAAGCCGCGTGGGGGGTCGCCCCCCCTCACCACTTTGCCCGGGGGGGGCGAAGGGGGGGAAGGTGGACCCGCCTCCCGCTTCTCCAAAAAAGGGCGAGGGGGCGTGGCTTCGCCAGGAGGGGCGGGGCCTCCCTTATAAATATCGGCGCCAGGCGGCAGGCACCCTCATTCTTCGGGCGCTCCGCTCTTCCCTCAATCGCGCTTCAATAAAGGGGGGGCTCGTCTACATTATATATTTTTTTAATTTTTTATTATTATTATTATTATTATCGTTCCCGCTGCCGGCTCCTTCGACGACTCCTCGCTTTTTTTTTAATTTATTCTTTCCATCCATCTCCTTCGTCTTTCCACCGCCTCGCAAGTCTTCGCCCCCCGCCATGAATGGTTTCCGGGACAGCAGGATCGAGGAGGGCACCTTCCTCTTCACCTCAGAGTCGGTGGGGGAAGGGCATCCAGGTGAGAAGAGCGGGAGGGAGGGAGGGAGGGGGGGCGCCTGAAGGACCCGGCTGTACCCGGCGCGGGGGGGAGGGGGGCTGGGAGGCTGGGCTGAGGGGGGCACACACGACTGAGGCGAAGATGGACAGGCGGGAGGGCGGGCGCGCGCCACGCCGCCCGCCGCCTGATTGGCCAGCGCGCCCCGGCTGAATGACGTCACGGGGCGGCTGCGGAGAATCGGGCTTGTGTGTGAGGGGGGGCCGACTTGAGGGGGGTTTTTTGACACGACCCCCCCCTCCCTTTCTACCGAATCCGTCTTAAAAGGGGGGGGACGGTGAAAAAAAAACGCCTGGGGTCCCCCCCACCTCCCTCTTTCTTCGCCGTCTCGGAGCGGCCATGCGGGCCGACCGCGAACGAGACGTGAGGGGAAAGGGGGGGGAGAGGAGGGAAGGAGAAAAAAAAAAGCGGGCCCTCCTCGCGCACGCGCACTCCCGCGCTTTCGTAGCCTCGGCGGCGCGCCCCGCATTGCAGGCGGACCACGTGGTGCCCGCATGGCGAGACCTTGGGAGGAGGAGAGGATGGGATGGGGAGGGGTGGGGTGAGAAAGGGGTGGGGGGTGGGAAGAAAAAACAACAAAATCCCACCTCCCTATATTTCGCAGAGCGCTTCTTGGGGGTGGGGGGCTGGGAGGAGGGGGTGTACAAGACAAGGGGAAAACGGGGGGCTGGGAGGAGGAGGAGGGGGGTACAAGGCTTAAGGGGAAAACTGGGGGGGCTGGGAGGAGGAGGAGGGGGGTACAAGGCTTAAGGGGAAAACGGGGGGCTGGGAGGAGGAGGAGGGGGGTACAAGGCTTGAGGGGAGGGGGGGGGGGGGGGGGGGGGGGGGGTGCAATATTTAAGGTGTAAAACTGATGACAAAACCCTTTGCTGATTAAAGAAACCAAATAAAAGAAGCATTGGAAGGTTTAAATGGAAGGATTAAAAGAAAGACCACTGGCCCCCCCAGAATGGAAATGGGCGAGTTTAAGAAAGGCTCGTCTTTTTTGAGCTCTTCTGCAACAAAGAGACTTAAGTAGAGAAGAGGAAATGAGAACACAGGTCGGGCTTAGAACCAGACGGGCGATCCTGCTTTGGATGCCCAACGATCTTGAAGGCATCTTCCCTTTTCCATTGTCTTCCGCCATGATGTCTGAGCTCTTTTTGGGGGGGGGGTTGTACTTCAGCTTGCAAAAGGGCTGGTTTTCAGCAACAAGCTTTTGTTGCCATGTTCATCTAAATTTGAGTTATTTCTTATTGGAATATTGCTGCCTTGGATGTAAAAAGTGGGAGAGGTTTAGTGCATCGCCCAAGCCTCTTGCTACAAAAGAGCAGGAAGAACCGGTAGACCATTTCCGCCATTGACATGTAGCCATTGAACACCATGTGGTTCATATTAAAAGGGAGAATATTATAGTGTTCCCTGCAGGGTGGATCCGATGTCTAGTCTCAATTCCTCTGCTTTTGGGAATAAATAAAAAGTTTGATAGTAACTGACACACATTTAATACATGTACTTGGGGAAATGAATGGAGACTTTGCCCCCTTCACTTTTAACTCTTCATTACTGTCATTCCTTTCATATCATAGGACTCGGGCTTGTTTGGGGAGCCATGCTGTAGAACAGCATCTCAAAGGTCATCTAACCCTACCTAATGCAATTGCTAAAAGATACACAAGAGATCCTCTATTAAGTTTCTTTGGAGAGACTAGGAGCTAGAAATTCTCTGAAATTTATTCTGAATCTCCAGTTGTAATTTATTTTATGAAACTGATAAAATTACATTTTACTACAGAACATAACATCAGTATGTACACAATCTTTCTGATGTGACATCTACCAGAATATTGAATTGAATTCTAAAACAATGGGAGCCACATCTCTACTCTTCACTCTGAAGGGGATGTTTAAAATAGTGTGGTTTTCTTTTTTTAAAGCTTTAGGCGCAAGCATTGTCTAGGTTTTAGTAGCATTGCTTGTGGTTGTTGCATTGTCTTAAGATATTGCTTGCTTTTACAGGCTTAGGTACTCCAAAGCAGTCCAGCATTTTATCCCATAGCAACCGGTCATTCCTACAAGAAACCCACAGACAGGATATGAATGCAGTGATGCTTGTCCACTTATTTCACCACTTAGTATTACACCATAGCTTAAGCCAAATCTTCCATGTTTCAGCTTTATTGATCAATAATTTTTATAGCAAATAGAATTCCAAACATGTTCCCTAAATGTTCATGTTTCTAAGGTTACCATTTCCTTGTAAAAGAATTGGGAAGAGCCTTGATTATTAGTTTGATAATACCACATTTAACAATGCAGTGTGTTCATTTTTCTCTTGTCCTCAATTGCCTGTATCTGGGATTCTCCTCTAAAGATGCTTATTCACCTTGTTGCCATCTTGTGTCCTCTAAAGAGCAGGATAGTAGGGAGAGTACAGATATAGCTTCTTATAATAGACTGTAAATCAGCAGGGGCTCTGTTAAGCTCTGTTAATTGACTGTAGGATATTCGAGTTTTGTGTTTTCAGAGGAGATGTGAAAGATAACCTTACAGTAAAGAACCGTGACTTTGCTATTAAGCTTTCCCATCCCATAAAGTGCTTAAATGCAGGTCTTAATAATTGATAATATACCTACCTAGTAAACAGAGTGGGTTGAGCAAATTTAAACATCCATGACATCAGGAAGAGCCACTTTGGTATGTTTAATGGTGCCAGGCCAAGAGATTTGAATTGCAGTCCTATCTTGGGCAGAAAAACCAGCTGGGCAGCTTGTTTTTCAGGCTTTAAGAAGAAGGCTGTGGCAAACCACTTCCAAGAATATTGCCAAGAAAACTGCATGGACTTCTCCAAGCAGTCCCCAAGAACAGGGATTGACTCAGAAGTTCACGCATTTAATACCTGGACAATTGCAGCTGTGTTACTCAATTCCTTGAGTAACTCCTATGAAGCAATGAATTAGCAGAAACATAGTTTTATCATTGCCCCCAAAGCGAAGAATTATATACATAAATAACTCTTGAATAAAATAACATTTGCAAATTTCGGCCAAGCTATCTTCCATGGTTTATTGGGCTTGTGTGCCATCAGCTTAAACCCAGCCCTTGTGACCCTTTATCTAGGATTTCCTAAGACGAACTGTTTAAAAGAAAGGATGGCTGCTCCCAGTTCATGTGCTAAACACTGGGTCAGACTGAAAGATTACGCAGGATAGGAGGAATGACTTGTTTGCCGTTAACGTAAACTTAAGTCACCCTGTTGCTTGTCAAAGAGACGACCAGAACAGATTTTGACGTGGTTTTAATTGATCGGTGAAGTAACAAATTTCTTAAAATGTGGGAACAGTTGCTCTTTAAAGCACAAAACACGAACAGATATTCCTAGAATCGTAAAGAATGACGGAACCTTTTTGTTTTCAGATAAGATCTGCGATCAAATTAGTGATGCTGTTCTCGATGCGCATTTGAAGCAGGATCCAAATGCCAAAGTAGCATGCGGTGAGTGCACCTGGCTTTTTATGGAAGGGCTGAACAGTATATTCAATATTTTATTCTATTTTTTAATCTGTGGAAGATTCTGTTCCACTTGGAACTGACAGGCGTTCAATCTGTCTTCCATTGCAGAAACTGCTGCAAAGACTGGAATGATTCTCTTGGCCGGAGAGATCACCTCCACTGCCGCGGTTGACTATCAAAAAATTGTTCGTGAAACAATCAAGCACATCGGTTATGATGATTCTTCAAAAGGTGAGCAGATTGTGAATGCCCGTTTGGCTTAGCTACCTTTGTTTGGTTTGGGTTTTTTTTTTTTTTGCGCTCCGGGTTTTGATCAAGAAGCTTTTTTTGGTTTGGATGCTGTTTCACTTCCTCTTCCTTAAGGTTAAAACTTTTGTGCGTTTTAGGCTTTGACTTCAAAACGTGCAATGTGCTGGTTGCTCTGGAGCAGCAGTCTCCTGACATCGCTCAAGGGGTGCATCTTGACAGGAAGGAAGAAGACATCGGTGCTGGGGATCAGGTTGGTATTAAGACCTTATTGATTTGTGATAAACTAGAACAGGGGTGTCAAACTCAGGGGCCGGATCTGGCCCGGTGGGGGGTACTTAGATCTGGCCTCCTGCAACCCTCCGCTGGTGAAAACAGCGCTCGGGAGGGCCCATTTTCGCTGGCAGAGTGCTTGGGCCGCCACAGGCACCCCTGACGAGACATTGAGCTGGCCATGCCCACCCCGGCCACCCCCCCTACCTCCCCCCCTCTCTGAGGTCAAATACAACTCTGTTGCGGCCGTCAATGAAATCGAGCTTGACACCACTGAACTAGAACCTAATGTGAATTCTTAGCCCTTGCCTGTTTTGAGTCTGGAATTTATTGTTCCACATGTCGTCCTTGCTTCAGGGTTTGATGTTTGGTTATGCTACTGATGAGACCGACGAGTGCATGCCCCTGACTCTTCTCCTAGCACACCAGCTGAATGCAAAACTGGCCGAACTCCGCCGGAATCATATTTTGACTTGGCTGCGACCAGATTCGAAGACCCAGGTAACGATGGTTGGCATCTTTCAGTAGGGAGGCCTCCCTCGCTGCTCTAGGCAGGCTAAAGATTTCTTTTCGGCAATCATACGAGATGTGCTCCTTTTTGGTTCCATTTCAGGTGACGGTTCAGTACAAGCAGGATCGCGGGGCCGTCATTCCCATTAGAGTCCACACGATTGTCATTTCCGTTCAGCACGACGACAGAATTGGACTGGATGAGATGAGAGATGCCCTGAAGGAGAAAGTGGTCAGAACGGTTGTGCCTGCAAAATACTTGGATGATGATACTATTTATCATCTGCAACCTAGCGGTCGATTCGTGATTGGTGGCCCCCAGGTATGTCAGCTGTTGCAATTTTGTTTGTTCTCTAATCTGGACATACAGTATATTGGCAGCCTTCTGAAATGACCAGAGCGGGAAAGTTCAGAAGCACGTGGCAGTATTTTATAACGAAGCCAGGACTTTGCAAGATAGCAGAGATGTTTTAAAAGAACAGAATAATGAGAATTGGAGGGGACCGTGGAGGTCTTCTAGTCCAACCCCCTGCTCAAACAGGAGACCCTATGCCATTTTAGACATGGTTGTCCAGTCCCTTCTTAAAAGACTCCAGGATTGGAGTACCCACAAATTCTGGAGGCAAGTTGTTCCACTGGTTAATACTTCTCACCGTCAGGAAGTTTCTTCTTAGTTCTAGATTCCTTCTCTGTTTGTTTGTTCGGTTGTTGCTTCTTCTCTTGCAAATCTTACCTAAGATTTGCACAAGAATTGCATAATAAGCACAATTGTTGATTTATGGTGATGCTGGTTCGACTGGCTGAGAAATCATTGTTGACACAATTGTTGTTTTAGGGAGATGCTGGTTTGACTGGCCGGAAGATCATTGTTGACACTTACGGTGGTTGGGGAGCCCATGGAGGAGGGGCTTTTTCTGGAAAAGATTACACAAAAGTTGACCGTTCGGCTTCTTACGCTGCTCGCTGGGTTGCCAAATCTCTTGTGAAGTCTGGCCTGTGTCGACGGGTGCTTGTTCAGGTATGTTCAGCCCGTTTCTTGGGAGCTAAAAGATGCTTGGATCAGTTTCATACCGACATTCACCTTGCTCTTCCCTTTTGGGGGATAAGCAGTGCTGTCTAAAGTGCAGATTACATTAAGTAGCCTGAGGGATTAATACCATAAGATAGAGGAAAGGGAATATAGCTAAGTGCACAGTGCTATTTGTTATATAAGTCCATGCCTTTTATGGTTTTCTAAACACTGCTCGTTTCCATCCTGCCCATATTCTACATCTAGCCCAGGGATCTGCAAACTTAAAACACTCAAAAGAGCCATTTGGACCCATTTCCCATAGAAAAGAAAACACCGGGAGCCACAAAACCCTTCCCGTGCCTGACTTATTTCTTGAGTGGCTACAAAACTAGAATATATAGTTGAATTAAAGATTCTGTTTTCTTCTGAAACTTTTCTTTTCTTGGATTTATCCATGGTTAGCCTACCGGGGCTTGAAAACTTCAATAAGTTGTGTGCCAGCGGGTGCTGCACATTGGCGGTTGTGACGCATATTTTGAGAGAGGGGGAGCTGCAGTAGAGGGATGAAAGAGCCACATGTGGCTCCAGAGCTGCAGATTGCTGACCCCTGACCTAGCCTTTTGCACTTGTTACTTCTGATGAAATGCATCAATTGCAGCCATTTTCCTCTCGCCCTCTTATATTCATTGGGCACTTATTCATTCTTGACTGTTCCCTTGTTTTATTAAACCTTTTTAAATACTCACATTGCACTGAACTTCTGTTTCTCTCCCTCCATATCCAACCCTTAATATCCCTTAGAAAAACTGAGCAACAAAAAGCCATACCCACATTTGTTCCCTCCGTTTTCCCTTCAAAGGGCAACTACTATTGTCTTTTATGTAATTTTGAGGTTCAGGTTCTGTGCCTTGTTGTGCAGTTTTTATCCAGTATCTGCTACAGATGAGTTGGGTTTTCTGTCAGCAGACATCCCAAAGGTGCTTTTTTTCAAGAGGCAACTGGACTTTTTCTTTGAAGACATTTCTCTTCTCATCCAAGAAGCTTCTTCAGCTCCGACTGGATGGTGGGGAATGAGAAGCGAAACGTCTTCAAAGAAAAACCAAAAAGTCCAGTTGCTTCTTGAAAAAAGGGACAACCTGGATGACTGAGAATCTCCATAGGCTGTCAGCAGGCATATTGCCTGTATCCCAAAATACAATATTTAGCTTTGAAATAACGGCCCTGAAAGCACGATGAGTAAAAGACAAAAGAGTTTTTGAAAAACATGGAAAAACGTGTTCTATGATTTTGGAAGTAGCAGCCCCCCAAAAAAGGAGGAATTTCCTGCTCCTGCTTGGTGGCCAACCAACCCCACTGTATTCCTTCCTCTTTGCTTGCAGGTCTCTTATGCTATTGGAGTCGCCCATCCGATATCAGTCTCTATTTTCCACTATGGCACTTCTCAAAAAACGGAGCACGAACTGCTGGACATTGTGAAGAAGAACTTCGATCTTCGCCCGGGGGTCATTGTCAGGTAAAACATGGTAACGCGTGTCCGTATACAAACATGGAAAATACATGGGGGTTAGGAAGGAGGGGATTAGGCATAAAGGAACAATGGCCGTTGGGGGCAAATCTTGCCCTTAATGTGCCAACGTTTTGTCCTTCCTTCTGCTGTATGCGCCATACCCACTACGAAGAGACAGAGGAAAGCAGCCTGCCGAGCACGGCGTGTCTTGGTTGTGTGGTCACAGGAGATGGCTACAATGTCAATCAAATCAGAGGTGATGTCCCTGCATTGGGGGGCAGGGGGGGCGGAATGCGCACTTGAATGCCTTCTAACTAGCAGCAGCATGTTCTTTGATATGTGACTGTCAAGGTAGGTTAGGTTAGGTTAGGAAATAGGTATTATGTAGGTTAATACTACCTCATTGGAAAGCTGTAGGAAGAGAATCTTGCAAGCCTGAATGCCCTTCCCCTCCTCCTTCCCTTTATCTTTGTGAGAACTAGGAAGCGGGCTGTCTGAGACGCTGACTTACTCTAATTCTTGCTCCAGACTCAAGACCTCTTTTTGACCGTTGCCTTGATAAGCAGTTCTTCCTCCCGTCCCTCAAGGCCATTCCCTCTGACCTCTACAGTGATAGTTTTCATGGGATGCTGCCCTGAGAGACAGGGAAGAATTTGCCTGGAGGGAGGAAATTCCTGGAAAGCAAAACACCTTTGAGAGGCTGACCTTATACACACAAAGATACTTTTAGGTGGTTGCTTGACACCTTCAAAATCATTTCATGGCAGGGTGGATAAAAATAATAATTTTTTTTAAAAAATCAGATTTTTTTTTATTTAAAACAGATTTTTTTTTATTTTTATTGAATTTATTTTAATAAAAAACTTGGGGTAAAAATCTATCGTAAGATAGTTTTCTATTTAAGATACATAATTTAGTTTATTCAGCATGAAATGGAGCTGAGGCTGTATATTCTGCAACACTGGGACTATCGGTGAGTCAACAGTGGGTCAAAGGAGTAGCAGAGATGACAGTTGCTCTTTAAAAATTATGATTTAAATCGAGTTGATTTAAATCAAGCCTTTTTACTAGTGATTTAAATCATGAGTTAAATTGTGATTTAAATCAACTCGATTTAAATCAAATCCACCCTGTTTCATGGGAAATTTCACTTGCTGTGTAACACCAGCTACATTCGCAATTGAAATGTTACTTTCTGAACAATGCCAGAACTGTAGGAGTGATTTATAAAAGGTTTTAATTGCTACACAGTAAGCATATAATAATACTTGGAAGTAAAACTCCCATGATTAATACGGTAATTATAGTTTTTTTTTTATGGGTTTTGTGTTCTGATTGAGCTGAGGCAACAGAGTCGTTGATTAACTCCTTTTTAGAAACATAGAAAAACTGCTGATGGTTAAACCTTAATTACTTTTCTTTTTCGTCCAGAGGCTAGCCATCGTAGGTAGAAGTTGGTTGTGACTTTGGGGGGGGGGGGGGGAGCTTAGCTCCGCAGACAGTTAGTGCAGGTTTGTGTGCCTGTTATCTGTCAGGGAAGTCTCTGCCTTGAGGTGGGCTGATGTTGAGATAGGAAGTATCCCTTCTGGAGAACTTCTGTGGTTTGCCTGGGAAGTAGAGATTCCTAAGTATAGAAGGTAAGTATCTCATTGCTCTCAGTTTGTGCCCGGGGGCTTAGAATTTCCAAGACGCGCTTCGGCAATGCTGTTTGTGACCCTAAGATGGGAAACCTTGCCTCTTGTAGAAGGATGATGGTCTCTGGGGCCAAGAAGCGTTGACCGTCCCCACTAACTCAGCGGCCTCTTGGGATGTAGGTGCTTTTTGCTTCGTTTTGGGTGAATGCTGTGTATTGAGTGATGGACTTGTATATTCCAGGGAGCTGGATCTGAAGAAGCCTATTTATCAGAAGACTGCAGCCTATGGTCACTTTGGTAGGAACAACTTCCCCTGGGAAGTCCCCAAAAAGCTTAAATACTGAATATGTTGGGCTTCTTTTCCCCCCAGACCTGTTGGTGTACATTACAGAGAAACCTTCAGGCTCCTTTGTGGGAAAGAGCCCCCAACCCCTCAATTGGTCCTATCCTTCTCTGCTCTTAAAACTTGGCACACTGTTCACGACCATGAATAATATCAGTCCTCTGGGGAGGGGCCGCAAATTGCACTGTGCTTCCTCCTCTGCCTGGTGTGGGCTTGACGTACGAGCCAGTTTGAGCCTAGGCACCATACAAAAAAAAAAAACAAAAAAATACAAAAAAAATCCATAGAGAAAGAAAAAAAAGGCTGTAACGGAGACAGTGCTTCAGCCTAACCTTTTGCATCGCCCAAAGGCTTTATAAACCTTTAACCTTCGAAAAGAAAAAAAAATCCCAAGAAATTTCCCTTGTGATGTGTATGCAGTCCGTGGTTTTTACCTCCTCTGCCCAGATGCTTAGAGCAGGGCGGTGTCAGCAGCCGGTTTTGGAGAATGCCAAGGCCGCCACCCCAATTGATTACTTAGAGAGAGCTTGCATGTTACACAACTCCCGATTGCAACTCTTAAAAGTGCGGTTCTTAAAACGTTCCTTAATAACGGAGGCAGTCCTGATTCCATGCTTTTAAATTCCAAGTCGGCATCACATTGTGATCCTTTCCTGCTGCTTTCTTTGAGGTTCATTTTTTTTTATTTTTTACACCTATGCAGTTTTAGCACTAGCCAGACCTCAAACCCCTTCCCCCACTTATCAAATGGGCGCTTGGGCAATCTTGGTATACTACAAAGAGGTCAGAAGATGGTACCCAGGACTTGTAGGCCGCACACTTTTTTGGCACCTGGATTTTTTTTTAATTTTTTTTGGTTAGAGCCAAGAATTTCATATTGCACAAAATTCCCAGTTTACTTTCACAGTCGAGTCCAAACTTGCATTCTGAAGTACTGGCGTAGCTACAGAGAAGCCAGGCCCCTTCAGAGCACACGTGCAATTCGGAAGGTTGTGGGAAGATAACCTACATACTTGAAAAAACTTTTTAATAATTGCTTATTTATTGTGTTTGGGATGGGGTGTGAGTACAGAGAAGCCCTTGTCTCAAATGGCAGCTTTTAAACTTTACGTTTGACACCATGAAATTCCTTGACAGTTCCCAGCATTCCCTGATAGGCCAAGGTGTCCTACAGAAAAGCCTTGGGTGTAACCTACAGGGGGTCTGGCTTGTGTAAAACAGGGGAGGGCAGTGCTGGGGGACCTGACCATAGGATAAGGCTAACTTGGTTGGTGTTGTACAGAGAAGCCAGCTTGTTTACTTGCCCATCCCATGGTCAGTATCCTAAACAGGAAGTGCCTTTTGCGTTCCACTTTTTTTTTTTTTCCTGGGCGTTTTATTACATATGTCTGGTTCTTGAAATTCCACATTAAAATCTCAATAAAGTGCTAGGTTCTATCTTAAAACGATGGCATGTGTAATAGTTTGAATTTTTTTTTTAAAAAAAAGGTGAATGTTTTCCCTCTCCAATCATGTCTGACTCCTGGGGGTGGGGGCAGTGTTAATCTCTACTTTCTAGCTGCGAGAGCCAGCGTCATCTGAAGATGCTTCCCTGGTCATGTGGCCACTGCGACTATATGCCAAGGCCCTAAACCAGCAATGGCTAATCTTTTTGCCGTCGTGTAGCAAAAGCGGGAGCGTGTCGGGTCATGTGCACATACCCATAATTCAATCTCCATGCGTACGCGACCCCTTTGCTCCCCCTGCTTTTGGCATGCAACAGCAAAAAGGTTACCAGTAGGCCTGTTTTTCGTCCTCCCCAGTCTCCAGAGGCTTTCTTGGAGCCTGGGGAGGGTGAAAACAGCCTCCCCCACCTTCCTGGAGGCCAGAAATGGCCATTTCCCAACTTCCAGAAGGCCCGAAAATCAGCTGGCCAGTGTATGCATGCGCGCTGGAACTGAGCTAGGGCCACGCACGCATGCCCACAGATACGGCTCCGCGTGCCACAGGTTTGCCATCACAGCCCTATACGCTGTTACCTTCCCACCAAAGTGGCACCTGCTTACCTGCTCACATTTGCATGCTTTCGAACTGCTTGGTTGGCAGGTGCTGGTGCAAGAATGGCAGCTCCTACCCGTCACACAGCGGTTGGTCTTCAAACTTGGCCGCTTTAAGACTTGTGGACTTCAACTCCCAGAATTCTGATCAACTCTGATCTAAACGGTTGGGGTGTGACTATAAAAGAATGGCTTCCTTAACAGCAGGTCTTCCCTTCCTGCTGCTGGACGGATTTTCATGAGCCATTAAAGAAGCGGAAGACATATTCAGCAAATACCTGGCTAAACCACGTTCCCCAGATAATCTGTCTCAAAACGTTGTGTAGGAGATTGCCACTCCTAGCTGGTAACATTGAATGAAATGCTGCCCTCTGTGCTAACTGAATAGGACAAAAGGATTTGAAGAGAGTTTGGCTTGTTCCTGGAAGCGATTCCAGGCTCATTTTCCAAAGCCAAGACGCTGCTTTCTGGCTGTCTGAACGCAGAGACACGGGCCACCTAACTCAGAGCGGCTTGTGCCAAATGTTACTAGATTTTTTTAATATCCTGGCAGTTCCTCCTCGTTCCTCCTATTTTCCCTGCAATAGCAATAGAATATTGGCCAAGTGTGATTGGACACACAAGGAATTTGTCTTGGTGCATACACTCTCGGTGTACATAAAAGATTCGTCAAGAATCGTAAAGTACAACACTTAATGATAGTCATAGGGAGCAAATAAAACGCAACAACCCAGTGAAGTGAGTTGGGTGGAGAGAGGAATTGGCCCAAAATCACCCAGCTGGCTTTTGTGACTAGAGTGGGGCTTGAACTCGCTGTCTTCTGTTTTCTAAAAGCCAGCAGCTCCACTATCCGCACCAAACTGGCGCTCTTAACATTTATCGCATCGCGAGGTTGAAAGGCTGGGTTTTACAGCTTTGCATGAACCGACTATTTTGGAAAGTGTGGCTGGGGTGGCTCCAACTTAGGTGTCACTTTCTGATTGTGGCACATCATTCTGCTTCTCTAATGGACTGCTCTCCAATCTTTTTCCCCATCCTGAATTCACCGGGGAGTTGAAAGCTGGTTTTTAAATGGGAGCCCTGGGACCGAGATCCATCGACTCCTCTCAAGAAAAGTGAACATTATTTGGGAACTGAACGGGATGATAAGCAGTAACGGAAGTTAATGATAAACTGGTTTTAAAAAGCAGCAAGGAAAGAAAAGAGCTGCAGGTGACTTTGCCTTTGTGAGATTTTAGTCTGGATTTATCTTGTTCAGGTAAGCATACCTGCGTCAACTTCCACCAATATGCAAGTCGGAGCTGGATAATTTGGGGACGATGACACTAAATTGGGAAAAGTTTCATGTTCCTAAAGGAGAGGAAATCACAAAAATACAGGGCAGAGTTGCCTTCCAATACTTAACTCTTGCCTATGTTCCTAAAACCAAAGAAAATTACCCTAATATACAATGTTTGCGTGCCTTATTGAGCAAATAAACTAAATAACCTAATGTAGGCAGCTATTGGCTTCAACAAGGGAAAAAAACCAGACTAACATTAAAAGTTAATGCTTGCTATTTTTAAACATTCGTTCCTTAATAGGCAACAAAAGTAGTATCAAAAGTCGTTTGATCTCAAAAGCAGGGTTGTTCCTATTTAATATTAGGGTGGGGCACAACCACGAAAATTAAGAAATGGGACGCTACTGTAGAAAAGCATGACTAATTTTGAGTTAGGTGAGCTAATATCAAAAGCATCTTTACCTTTGAATGCTGTTTTAGCAAAAAAAAATAAAAACATTCAAAATAATATCTCTGGCCCACATTTCTTTTGGAAATTCTTTGTGGAGAGAAACTTTTCAAGCACAGAAATTCTTGAGCCCCTTTTTATCATCAAGGGGAATAAATAGAGGCCATCTTCAATTTACAACATTTCATTTAGTGACCGTGTGAAGTTACAATGGCACTGAAAAAGTTAACATGACTTTTTCACACGATCGTGCGATTAAAATTGGGATGTTTGGCAACTGACACAACGGTTGCAAACAAATATAAACCTTTTGACTCCTTTTTTATTTTTGTTTTGGCCATCCTAATGTGGTTGTCTAACAATGTCTTCAAAAGTTTTATCTGCATTTCTGCAAACATAAAAACGCTCAGTAAACAAAAGGAGGGGTTTTGCAATCACCTGTTGACTCATGAAAATCCTATGTACCCCACAGAGGGAAAGGCTTATAAAGATCAGCAGCTTCTGAGCGGCTCCAAAGTTCAAAAATGACCTTTTGTAACATTTAAGAAATAAAATCCAGGAGCACATTGTTCCTTTGGGAGCTTGTTTCCCTGCCTTGTAGAATTTGGGTGAAAGGTTGGATTGGATTGGATTGAGCGGCTATTCACATTAATTCAACATAACGTGATCCCGCGTGCTATTAGAATGGCCCTATCGGCTGCAAAACTCCAGATCGCCACAAGGGGGCTGCGGAGACACCACGTTTTTTCCTGCCCTCTGGTGGCCTGAAGTTCTGCAGCCTGAATCTGGGCTAAAACTATGTTATAATAATAATTTTAATTAGCAATTTTATGATGTTTGTGTATCTATATTTTTCTTGACAGTACACCGCCTTGAGTCCTACGGGAGAAAGGCGGTATAGAAATATAAATAAATAAATAAATAAAAGAATGGAATGAAATAGAATAATGGAATATAGGGTAAAATAAATGGAATGGGATAGAACAGGTGTCAAACTTGCGGGATGGATGTGTCACACGCTGGCCACGCCCACCTTGGTTTAGCAAAGGGGGGGAAATGTCACGATACATCACGACAATGTGACACCATGAGTTTGACACCCCTGGAATAGAACAATGGAATGGAATAGAATAGAATAAATTTATTGTCCCTTTGAGCGTACACTAATCAGCATATATTAAAATGAAATTTTGTTGCATACAGCTCTCAGAGTCACCAACCTCCAATATATGCCCCTTGAACATAACAAAACAAATGCAAAATTATGCATATAAATAGCGCAATCGACGGCCAACAATGGGGCAGTTGGTCCCTGCGCTGTGACTTGCTAGATCCCGTCAGGGTGGATCCCTGGAAATGATGCTATCTTAATATGGAGGCAGGTGGGGGCTCAGGATGCCTCCCCACCATGCCCGGTCAAAGCAGAGCGTCCAACCACCCTCCATAAAGAAGATGTGCTATGTCACCTTGGGTGACATTTGTCCTGTTGGTTCTAATGGCATGAAGCTGCAGATTTCCCCTGCGTCAGGCCTCGGGACCACAAAGCCCATCGATCTGCCAAAGCCCCTGCAGGAGGGAAGATCATGCTGGAGAGCGAGAGGTGGTGCATTAATTTACATGTGGTTTCTCCCGCACAGGGCAGCCATCATCAGGAGAAACTTGATTTCTTCAGGAGGCTTTTTTTAAATTTTTAAAATTTGATTTCTATGCCGCCCTTCTCCGGAGACTCAGGGTGGCTTACAATGTGCTCAGCAATAGCTTTCATCCTTTTGTATATTTATACAAAGTCAGCTTATTGCCCCCACAAACTGGGTCCTCAATTTACCCACCTTAGAAAGGATGGAAGGCTGAGTCAACCTTGAGCCTTGGCGAGATTCGAACCTGCAGTAATTGCAGGCAGCTGGTCTTAATAACCAGCTTAATAACAGGGTGCCTTAGACCACTGTACTACCAAGGCTCTTGCAAGGCTTGAATGCAAAATCAAACACAAATAAATACCAAGTTGCTGGTGTCATGATTAATTACAGGATTTAATTAATGCATTTATTAGAGGACAATTACATAACTCAGAACATCCCCACCTCTTCTGAAATGTTATTTTTTTTCCCCTCTTCTAAACGCCCTTTCTGAGTTTCCAAATCTCTCAACTGCAATTTCCAAACAATTATTGGAAGGGATTCAATCAAGATCAAGTGAGGTACTACTAATAAATACCACTCTATAAAGCCTTGGTAGGACCGCACCTAGACTACTGCACCCAGTTTTGGTCACCACACTATTAAAAAAAAGATGTTGAGACGAAAAAGTGCAGAGAAGAGCAACCAGGATGATTAAGAGACCGGAGGCTAAAACTTGCAGGAACTGGGCGTGTCTAGTTTAATGAAAAAAAGGACCAGGGGAGACATGAGAGCAGTCTTCAATATTTGAGGGGCTGCCCCAGAGAGTAGGAAGGGGGTCAAGGTAATTCTCCAAAGTACCTGAAGGCCAGATAAGGAATAAAATGGATGGAAACGGAACAAGGAGAGATTCAAACTAGAAATAAGGAAGAATTTTCTGACAGTGAGAACAATCAAACCATGGAACGGAAGTTGCGGGAGCTTCATCGCTGGAAGTTTTCAAGAAGAGACTGGATTGCCATTGGTCAGAAATGGTGTAGGGTCTCCTGCTTGGGTGGGGGGTTGGACTAGATGACCTACAAGGTCCCTTCCAACTCTGTTAATCTGAATGTCTAAAATGATCAAAGGCCTGGAGACTAAAACATACATTGTATGAACGGTTGCAGGAACTGGGCATGGCCAGTCTAGTGAAGAGAAGGACCAGGGGAGACAGGATAGCAGTCTTCCAATATCTGAGGGGCTGCCACAGAGAGGAGGAAGGGGGTCAAGCTATTTTCCAAGGCACCTGAAGGCCAGACAAGGAATAATGGATGGAAACTGATCAAGGAGAGATTCAACCTGGAAATAAGGAGGAATTTTCTGACAGTGAGAGCAATCAACCCATGGAAGCTTTCAAGAAGAGACTGGACTGCCCTCGGTCAAAAAATGGTGTGGGGTCTGCTTGGGCCGGGGGTTGGACTAGATGACCTCAGGGATCCCTTCCGACTCTGCTAATCTCTTCATTTGAAGAAGCGGACCCAGCAATTATTGAGGACCCAGATTGAGACTGTTGGGGTCCCATAGGCTGCGGGTAAACCGCTCAGAGAGGCCTTTCGAAGCGGTATTATAAAAAAGTCTTAAGGGCTAATTGCTAATTATGGGGAAAATCATTCCTACGCCCCCCATTAAAACAAGCCGAGGAAACGCTCCGTTTGAAGTTTGAAACCGTAGAGAGGCCCTAGCGCGCGTGCGCGGAGTTAAATAAAAAAAAAGGGGGGGGTCGGGCTCTGCGCAAGAACCGGCGCGAGACCGACCGGCCGACGCGCCTGCGCCCCTCCGCAAGCCGCGTTCGGCCAAAGGGCGTGGCCAAAGCCGGGGAGGCCTCGAGCGTTGCGCCTGCGCAGTGCGCGGAAACGAAGGGAGAGAGAGAGACCTTCAGCTTTTTGACAAGGAGGGACGGTCGGGCGGCTGAGGCGGCGGAAGAGGCGCCCCTGAGGTGCGGCCGGTGGGCGAGTGAGGAGGCGCTTGCGGGCGGGGGGGAGAGAGAGAGAGAGAGAGACGGTTCTTTCCCCTCCCCCTTCCCCTCACAGAGGGTGGGGGAGGCGGAGGCCTCGGGGGGAGGGGGAGGGGCGCTGAGGGCTCTGTGGGGGGTCGTGGGGAGGGGGGGAGGGCGGAAAGGCTCCTCTCTTGTGGTTGTATTGATTTATATTATAATGTAATGAATTACATTCGTCTCTTGTTGAGGCCCTGCTTGAGCATCCCGCGCACCCGTTTACTCCGCCCTCTGTGGGGAAGGTCGGAGCTCTTGTGAGGGGTGGTGTGTGTGGGGGGGGGGGGGGTCATGTGGGGCTTTGGCGGGGGGAGGGGGGGGGCGGGGGGGGGGAATTTGATGGGTGGCGTGGTGGCCCGGTTCTTCAAGGGGTCCCCCAAAGGGCCAGCCCCAGGGAAACAGCCGGGCCTTTCCCCTCCGGCCCCTCTCCCCCTTCAGGACCCCGGAACCTGGGATTCCCCTGAGGAAAAAGAGTCCCTTCGGAAACCCTCCCCTGGCCCCCCCCTAGAACCCCTAGGGCCCTTTTTCCCCTTCCCCTCACCACCCCCTGGAAAGGGCAAAGCTTCCCCAGGCCCCCCTTCCCTCCCCCTCCCTCCCCCCCCCTCAGCCTCGCCCCTTCCCCTCCCCCTTTCCCCCAGGGAAGTTTACCCCCTTTTCCCTTTCCCCTTCCTCCCCTTCCCCTTCCTTTTCGGGAACCCTTTCCCCTTCCCCCTTCCCCCCCTTTCCTCCTTTCTTTCCCCTTCCCCTTCCTTTCCTTTCCCTTCCCTCTCCCTCCCCCCTTTTCCCTCCCCTCCCCCTCCCCTTCCCTTTTTCCCTTCCCCTTTCCCCTTCCCTTTCCCTTTCCTTTCCTTCCTTTTCCTTTTCCCTTTTCCCTTCCCCCCCTCTTCCTTCCCTTTCCCCCTGGCCCCCCTTCCCTTTCCTTCCCCTCCTTTCCCCCTTTCCCTTTCCCCCTCCTTTCCTTTTCCCCCCTTCCCCCTTCCCTCCCCCTTCCCTTTCCCCTTTCCTTTTCCCCCTTCCTTTTTCTTTCCCCTTCCCTTTTCCTCCCTTTCCCCTTCCCCTTTTCCTCCCCTTCGCCTCCCCTTTTCCCTCTCTTTCCCCCTTTTCTCCCCTTCCCTCTTCCCCCTCGCCTTTCCCCTCCCCCCCCCCCCCCCTTCCTTTCCCTTTCCCTTTCCCTTTCCCCTCTTCCTTCCTTTTCCCTTTCCTCCCCTTTCCCCTTTCCCTTTCCTTTCCTTTCCCCTTTCCCCCTTTCCCCTTTCTTTCCCTTCCCCTTTTCCCCTTTCCCTTTCCTTCCTCCCCTTTTCCCCCCCTCCTCGCTTTCCTTTCCCTTTCCTTCTTTCCTATTCCCCTTTCCCTTCCCTTTCCCTTTCCCCTTTCCCTTTTCCGCCTTTCCTTTTCCCCTTTCCTATTCCCCTTCCCCTCCCTCTTCCCTTTCTTTTCCCCTTTCCCTCCCCTCGCCTTTCCTTTTCCCTTTCCTATTCCCCTTCCCTTTCCCCTCCCTCTTCCCTTTCCCCTTCCCTTTCCCTCCCCTCGCCTTTCCTTTTCCCTTTCCTATTCCCCTTCCCTTTCCCCTCCCTCTTCCCTTTCCCCTTCCCTTTCCCCTCCCCTCGCCTTTCCTTTTCCCTTTCCTATTCCCCTCCCTTTCCCCTCTCCCCTCCCCCTTCCCTTTCCCCTCCCCTCGCCTTTCCTTTTCCCTTTCCTATTCCCTTCCCTTTCCCCTCCCTCTTCCCTTTCCCCTTCCCCTTTCCCTCCCCCGCGCATGCTAAGCCTACAAGCAACCTGGTGCCTCTCTGCAGGTTAAGGGACTGGGGTTCTCAGTAAACCTCTCTCTCCACCCCCCCTCCCCCAGTGGGTCCAGTTATATAGAGGATGCTGGCTGGGCCATCAGCACTGAAGTGTGTGTATGTGGGGGGGGGCAAATTGGGTGGGAGGGAGGTGGGTTGGGTAGATCTTCCGCCCGCCTTGAGTGATTTGTAAAAATAATAAAATGGGATATAAATAAATAAGTAAAACAAAGCTGGATAAGATGTGTGGAATATATCTTCGCCACCTTGAGTGATTTGTAAAAATAACAAAGTGGGATGTAAATAAATAAATAAAGCATGATACCGTAGGAAGGTGTGTTAGGTTTGCCGCCTTGAGTGATTTGTAAAAATAGCAAAGTGGGATATAAAATAAAACAAAACATGATACCGTAGGAAAGTATGTTAGCTATCTTTGCCGCCTTGAGTTATTTGTAAAAAAACAGTGGGATATAAATAAATAAATAAATAAAACAAAGCATGATACCGTAGGAAGGTATGTAAAGGATAAGGTAATAAAGGATGCAAACAAAGATATAAATAAATAAATAAAACAAAGCACGATAGGAAGGTGTGTTAGATAAGTTCACCACCTTGAGTTATTTGTTAAAATAAAGTCGGATACATACAAATAAATAAAACAGAACAAAGCATGATGCTAAGCCAAACTAAACACATAACACCTCACCTTGAGGGGCAGTGGGTGAGACTGGTGTATATTCCATGAGGTCACAATGGGCATTGTTTACTTTGGCTTGGTAGGAGCCATTTTGGTTGATTGACCTTGGGGTTTGGTTTAGTATGTTGAGGGCATAGGCTGCCATGGAGGGAGGAAGCAAAGTCATCTTTGTGCAAGATGGGTAGGTTCCGAACCTTCCAACCTTCAGGTGTGTTTGCTAGGAATTGCGGTTCTGACGTACGTGGGAAAGGATTGGTTATAATATTGGCTTAGAAGTTGGAGAGGCTTGGGCTAAAAATGAAATGGGAGATGGAGTATGCGGATCATAATCAGAGAGACTAGATCAGGGGTCGGCAACCCATTGGCTCTGGAGCCGCATGTGGCTCTTTCATCCCTCTGCTGCGGCTCCCTGTCGCCAGTCAGCTCCACAATTGATAGGGCTTTCGGTTAGGACAGGTAGAGGAAAAAGGATGCTGCGCTAGGAGAAGACTCTATGGTGGGGAACCGGACTTCCGGTCGGCTCCAGAATTGAATGGGGGGCTTCCGGTTAGGACTTTGTGGCTCTTTGAGTGTTTAAGGTTGCCGACCCCTGGACTAGATTGAGGTTCAGACCCTTGCATAGCCAAGAGACCCATTGAATCTTGCCTTTCTGACAAGGGTGGCTGTACAGATCAACCTTGGAAGGACCAATATAGTGACTTGGCTTCTTGGCAAGAAAGGTGAGGTAGCAGAATATAATAAATACAGCCATGGAAAGGATGTTGATTGCCTCTTAAGTAATGTAGAATTGAAGAAGCTGACTTAAACCAGGCAGATGTCTGTCCATCCAACTCAGTTTTATGTAGAATTGCCCAACTTGGTGCCATCTGGATGGATTGGGCTACTGCCCAGACTTCAACTAGCATGATTATTGGCCGATTGTGCTTGGTTTATTTTATTTTTTTTATCTGAACTTTCAGACGGATAGGGTAAGATAAAAACATTTGAAGAATATCTGTCCTCTGCTTCAAGCAGCAGGTTGAAGAGGATGATAGGACTTAGTGGGAAAGTGGTATAAATAATAACATTTGAATTATATCCTTCAAAATAGCTTTGAGTGGGATGTATTCATAACATAAAGCAACCCAAATAGATTCATGACTCTGGTGGCATGCGTCAAATAAAATCCCAAAGAAAATAATGCTATATTGCAATCAAAAGCCATACAAGATCAAGAACATAACTCCAGAAACAACATACAACCAGGACTCTCCCAATTATGCACGCCCAAAAAATTGTCTCATCCATCATTCTAGTTTTAACACCTGGGGTGGGGGTGGGGGGCAAAACCACATTTTCAAATCTTGAAAGTTCAGGCCATAAAGGGCTTTTTGGTTGAATAGAGTTATTTATTTATTTATCATATGTATATTCTGCCTTTTTATCAGGAACTCAAGAACTAAGTACTCCCCGATCTATCTTATGTCATTCTGCTCAGTTTGGTCAAATGTTTAACTTCGTTCCCCCCAAAAAATTTGAAAATGAAGAATGAATTAGACCATGCAATGATGCTTTCTCCCTTATCCCTAATTAGGTCACATATGGGGAATTACACGTACTGTGATGTCGGCAATGATGTCACAATCCACAAATGATTTTTTAAAATAAAACCTACTGGTATTCTAATCTTTTAAAAACAAACTTAAAAAGTGGCTAAAAGGTGAAAAGTTGTATTCCCAACCTATTCAAAAAACTGTTCTAGTCCTTTGTCTAGTTCACCTCTTGCATTATATTCTAAGGCTTCTATTAAATCCTATGTGAGGCTGTATTTGAAGATACATTTATTATACCATGAATATAAAGTGCTTCAGCTTTAATACCTGAGGCTATTGTGAATCAGCAGATGGGTTGTATCTAGGAATATCAACACACATTCTTGTTTTAGAGTCGTGTGAACATATATATATATGCATACGTTTGTTTGCATTTTTGTATCTGTTGTGTAAATTCGCCTGTTTGGTTACACTACTTTATGGTTCATATAGGTCAGGGGTATCAAACTCACGTTGTTACGTTGTCATCATATGACGTATCGGGACTTTTTTCCCCTTTGACAAACCAGGGGTGGGTATGGTCATCACATGACACATCTGGCCCACGATTCATTTATAGTATGTTATGGGAAGATTGAGCTAAAACTCCCCCCATACTTGTTACATCAATTCAAAAAGGGAATTTACTGGTGCCTCGAGGAAGCAGATTCTTTTATCCTAAGGGTAAAATAGGAAGTAACTCAATTCCAGTGTTTATTTTCAAAACTATTGTATGATGAGTTGACATAATGTAGTTTAAAAGTTCCTAGTAGCTTGCAGTTGGCGGGATTGCCATGCATCAACTTGGCGAGGTACATATTAATACCAGATATGAATTTTGCAAGGGATTTTAATTTGAATTTTTTGGTACCCTCTTGTGGAAATGCTGTGCTGCAGTACCAGTCTGAAAGAGCACTCCATTCTGAGCTCACCTTATAATGTTGTCATTCACAGAAGCACCTAAGCTTGTGGCAGGCACTGCTGTTGAAAGTCAGTAAGGTGCTGATCTTGTAGTTCATACCATGAACCGACATCTGGTAAGACTGAGCTACGTGGTATAGTTTCAATTGAGCACAGCATCAGTGCAAGAGTGAATTTTGCTTTCTTACACAAAGCTCATGTTTTCCCTACTAGCAATCTGGGTAGAAGCTATTCAGACAAAGTAAGCATGCGCAGGGGAAAAAATGGAGTGGGCTATTATTTGAAATGCCCTTTGCCAAAACTCCATGAATGAGACAAGCAGCGTAACTTGTATAAATTAGAAACCGATCCTTTGAATTCAAAATGGAGGATGTTCCCCCTCCAAACCTTTCCCCAAGATTGTGAGTTTCCTGAATTGTGTCGTTGAAGTAAAGAATTAGCAACACAGTCTATTTTTATTAGAAAGTGATTTTTTTTTCCTTGAGAAATGATACAGATTGAACGGTAGTTGAAACTGGTGCATTTTTGTAATAGTGTAGATTCTAACTCTGGAAATTGCATTAGTCATTTGTTCCCCTCTCCTAAGTCAGATTTCTTGGCCAAGCCAAAAAATAAATCATGTTTATATTCTCCTAATCGTGAGTAGGTGATCATTCCAGATCAACATGGCTAGATACAGGAAGTGATTTGGGGGGTGGGGGGAAGGAGCGAGGAGGGAGAGAGAGATAATAGCTTGTCCATACTTACACTCAGTCTGTACACAAGATATTCTTGGTCCTATCTTTTTTTTTGTAGTAAAGTGACTTTTATCTAAGCATCATTTGGTATGAGTGAGAACAGGAGGAGCTTCATCACTGGAAGCTTTCAAGAAGAGACTGGACTGCCATCTGTCAGAAATGGTGTAGAGTCTCCTGCTTGGGCGGGGGGTTGGACTAGATGACCTTCAGGGTCCCTTCCAACTCTGTTATTCTGTTCTGTTAGAACTGAAAAAGGATTATAAGAACTAAATAGCAGAAGATGTGCATGTCATAGACACAAAAGTGGAATATTTCTACTTACTTTTTGCTGAGCAGTGTATATTTTGGGAATAATCATTTATTGTGACAAGAATTAATGCAAAGAATGGAAAGGCTTAGTCTGAATCTCTGTTTTTTTTAAAGATGTCTGCAAGTTTGGGGAATCATTAACTTGCAGAGAATAGTAAATGGTAAGGTTAGGAACCGATGGGATTATTGAATGCGAGTGTGCTGTCTTTGCTGATTTATCTGTTCTTCGCTTACGCAGAGTTGTATCCTATCAATAGTCTGATGGTCAGTCCAAAAAAGCAGATTTCTTTGCTTACAAATTCTCAACAAGTCTATTAAAACGAGTGCGACTTTTTATTTTTTTAAAGAAAAAAAACCTGCTCAAGAAATGTCCCAGTAGCATCCTATATGCCACCATTCAGATGGAAAGTATATTCTGGAGGAAACAGGCACCTGTGATGCTTTTACATTTTTTGAATACATTTTAGGAAACCCCCTCCCCCCCTCAACGTTGGAGTACTTTCTTATTGTACATGTGCATCCCTCAAATGCACACAATCTCGTGCTTAGAAATATGCAAAATTTTCTATCACACTGTCCTGACTCCGGAACAGATGGTTACATCAAAAAACAAGCCCCTTCCAAGTGTCCAGTAATGGCCTGACTTCAAACTGGACCCGCCTAGATGTTCCAGAAGTGGAACACTTCAAGGTCACACTATTATTGGAACACTTAGAATGTTCCTTTAGATAGTTGGATCAAGCTCTCAGAACATGGTTTCTTCATCAGGCCTGGGGATGCCTTAGACAGCAGGGAGACCACACAACATGTAACATTCTGATTTTAAACCTCTCATGAACTTGGTTTTAATAAGTAATGTAATCGTTTTAGTTGATTTTACAATATGGGTAAATCATTGGCTTTATTGTACGCCACTCAGAGTCACTTTGGGTGAGATAAGTGGTCATATACATTTGATTAAATAAATAAATGGCATATTTTACGTGAGACTGCTCTCCACGCAGATTGTCCATGATGGCTTCTAATATATTTGGAGGGGGGGGTGCTTACTCTTTGGAATTTTATTTAGGATAAAGCCAGTAGCGTTTGTCACTTTTCACATCCAGAATCTTTCCGATAGAATGTGGGTTGAAATTAATAATCCAAATTTAGGTAAATATGCATTTTTCAGAGAAACTGGAATACCTGGTCAACAAATTATATAGAAGTTGGTGTCACTGAAAATAATATTTTGAATTGATACGTTGCTGGCACACTCAAATGTATTTTGAGGTTAATCAAAACTCTTCAAGAAATGTTTTCAACTTATTGGGACCTAAAAGGTAGGGATGCCAAAAGAATTATGTGACATATGTTTAGTCTGAGAAATGGAAACTGATTTAGAGTCACACCAGATCTAATAAAACTGAGATTTGAATTTCCTTGATATTAAATATATTGCTGTATCAGGTATATGATCCTGGCCTAGGAATGCATTAGACCCTCTTTATTGGAACAATATTCTAACTGTACATCAAAGAAATTACATTCAGGATTAGGGGTTCAGAATTTTGAGAATATTAAATGTACAGTATGTTTAGTTTTATATAAAGGTAAACTTGGATTATGTTTGAGTAAAAAAATATTTCATATTGCAGGTCTTCCGCTACAAGTGCTAGTTATTATGTTCTAATGATAACACTTTTTCCCTCTCTTCCATACTTGACAGGTAAACTTAAAAGAGGCGAGTCCTTCTGTAGATTCACAGTGAGAAGTAAATGATTTAGGGGCTAAGCTGTGAAATACAGAGTCTGCAACCATGTTCGCCTGTCCCCCTAGAGTGTCAGGTAGGTCTCTTTCTCGCTCTTGCTCTATAAATGTCTACATATACATGTGTATTCTTAGAGACGTTCAAACGTTTCAAGTAAATAATTAGAAACCAAGAGTCCTGGGATGATGTATGTTAATAAGAAAGTTACTGCTTTGATCTTGCCTTTTATCGTTTACAAGGAGTTCTTGCTTGTCTTCTGAGGGGCCATATTAGAAACCATGTCTGGCAAGACTAAAATTCTTGTCGAGTGGAAAAACAAGGCAAAGTCAGCAGCCGATTTAGCACTAATTTATTCATATAAAGAGACAGGCCCCAGGGTCCAAAATCAGGAAGGAAGCAACATTTCCTCTCAAAGAAATAAGATACCCTGTTGAACTTCAACTCACTTTCCAACTTCTGGCTTCCCACAGGCCTGGAAATTTCTTGTTGAGGATTCAAAAAAGTTGGGATTAAAAATACGTGAAGGATGGGCAGGAATGGAGAATTCTTGAAACGAGTCATAATGTTATTGTTGGAAGGATGTCTAAGGGAGGGCGGTTGCCTTGGGAGAAATGTATTGCTGGAGTCTAATCCAATTGTTGGGAGTTGTGTTTTTCAACAGACAGCATTTTTCACAAGCCTTGTATCCCTGAAGGTTTGCGAATAGACTGTCAGAATGTCATCACTTGTGATATATAAAGAATTCTGAACCGCTACTGAAGTTGTGTCTATGTGTGTGCTTGAGTTATTTCTAAATCCGTTGTAATCGTGCTTTTTGTAGACCCCATGAATATTCCACCAGCTTATTGTGACCTGGGGAAATCTGCTAGGGATGTATTCAACAAAGGATATGGTGAGTAATGCCCACAAACCCAATTTTGTTCTTTTCACCTCAATCTTAGACTGGCCGTCTAGAAAAATTATACTCTGGTACTACTTATCTCTTAGGGAAATCATCTTTGCAGGTGACTTAAAAATGTTGGATAATATTAAACTTGCAAGATTTATTGCAGTGCTCGGGACTCAAACATTTTAAAAATGTATTTTTCTAGACACCAGTAATTGTGAGACATAAAGGGAATGTAATAGCAGAGCTCAGCAATTAATAAATAAAATTGATATTTTTTCAGATGTCATAATTTTGGAAAAACCTACAATTATTAACAATTCCGTTTCTGAGAATGGTTAACTTTTACTTATTTCAAGCGTTTCTGTGGGGACAGATAAACTTCTAGATTTTTCCTGAGCATGGTAAGAACTTCAGAAGGGCATGACAGCATCAGGCAAACAACTGGAATTGCTGTTACTAAGTGACATGGTCATGTTGCCTTTGTCTGTAACTATTTCAGACAAATATATGTTGTTTATCACATCATTGATTCTGGTATGTATTTTAATTTTAGGGTTTGGAATGGTCAAGTTAGATTTGAAGACCAAGTCTTCCAGCGGAGTGGTAAGCAGTGACTTTATTAAATAATTTAGATAACAAAAAAGGCTTTGTGAAACATCTAGGAAAATCTGTGTAACACTAAAGAAGTAGCGCCTACAAATATTCCTTTTTTAGAATCCCCAAATCTTACCTGCCTGTCACTGTTTTGTAATTTGACTTTTTCAGAACTTAATAATTTGGAGTGTGGTTTTAGTAACTGGCAAAGAAAGATTTTGATTGATGGCAATTTTATCGTGCATTTCTCTGCTATACTCGGAACAATTATAGCAAGAGAGATAAATAATTGAATATATAATATGATTGATATAATTGGAAATCCAGGTATAAATGGTAATATATAGGATTAATCAAATTTTACTGATGAATTAACAGTGCTAATTTAATTTTTCCCCCTTTTTTCATGCAACACTGTTTTTGGATGTGTAATTAGCTGGTAAGAATACACTATATTCTCTTCTATATGCTTTTTGTTAAGGTTTATTTATTTAGACTGTGATCCAGTCCGTCTCTTAAGCCATTCCGAGTTTAAAAAATGTGATAAACAGGCTTTAAGTGTTGCATTATTAAGAAGAACCATTTATATCAGAACTGTCCAAAGAATGAGAAATTGGCATAAAATAGTCATTCATATTTTATCCCATGCACCATTCCCCAACCCAGTGTAAATTCTTCACCTGCTTAGAAATTCTCACTAATTCTTGAATTGGGCTTGACTATTAAAAGCAGTCTAAGGGTGTAAACCCTGATCAGATTAATTGTAAAGGTTGCATACTTTCTGGCAGAGGTTTTTTTTTTTTTAATTGGCATCCATCTATACCAGTGTGGAATTTCTAGCGGGGAGTTCCGTTTTTGAAATTTGTCTGGGTGGTGGGGAGTGAAAGATGATTTCTCCCAGTAGCTCTGTATGGCTTTGGCCAACCACCAGAAGGGCTGAACCCCCTCTCCATCTTTGCAACACTTAAGATATATTAACCTGGAATAATGGGATTTATTTCTTCTGTCTCATATTTGATTTTAAGTGTAATTAACTAATGTATGATAGTTTTAAGTACATTCTGTTTTATTAAAATAGGGGCAGCATTTTTTCTGTTCCAGAATGAAAAGAATCGGGAAAGCTTGACGCTGAATTAATAGACTATCAATATTAATAGATCAGTAGTAGTATGGAAAGGTATAATTTTATCGGTGTCATGACACCACTGAATTATAAGACCTCAGACAGGAGAAATATATCTTGATAAGGTCCTGAAATCCAGTAGATTACATTTATAACGCTGCACGGGAAGTGTAGATCATGTTGTAGATCAGGGGCGTCTAACCTTGGCAAGGGTTAGTTAGCATGGCTGGTTGGGGAATTCTGAGAATTGAAGTCACAAGTCTTTAAAGTTGCCAAGATTGGACACCCCTGTTATAGATGGAGATTGTATAATTTGTCAACATTGCATGTTAAAAGCCCAACTCTTTGCAATTTAAGATAAATGTAATTTATTTGCAGGAATTTACTACTAGTGGCTCTTCCAACACAGACACAGGCAAAGCCTCAGGCAACCTTGAGACTAAGTATAAATTTAAGGATTATGGACTTACATTCACTCAGAAATGGAATACCGACAACACCTTAGGCACAGAGCTCACCATGGAAGATAAGGTAAGAATGGGGAATTTAGGCTATGACATTTCTTGTATTGGGAGAAATCAATACAGTTAGTACCATTAATTGCACCTAATTTATTCTGTGCACAGTCCAGAATAAAATAGATTTTGTGTATTATAAACGTTTTTTAAAAAATCATTTTCTCCCACATTTTTCCTGGATCAGATCTTCATACTAATCTGTACAAAATTTAAAACAATCAGAATAACATTATGCTATGTTTTATACTGTTAGTGTATTTTCCTATTTTGTGAGCAGCAGGGTGTAAATTTGATTAGTAAATAAATAATGAATGAGCATGGGTAGCACTAGATCTGTGGAAATCCTTGGAGAATTAAAATCTGAGGATAAGCACCGGGTGGATTTGTCTCCTAGTATCTAAAGATTAGGAAGAGGAGTTCTGAGTGAAAAAACTGAGAAAATAGTGAATTCCACGAGTCCTGATTTTGGGGAGATTTTAAGATGTTCTGCATTCTTCTGACTCGCAGTTATCCTTCTGGTAACTGAAGAACGACGTCATTTAGTGTACGTACATAGCAATGCTGCTTGGATACTGCTTAGGTGATTGAAGGGCAAATTCTCAGTTTCCAATAATCCAGGAGCTTCATGCTATAATGGTAAATGAGAACTGTGCCTTGTCCGTAAAAATTAAAACGCAGCTTTTAGGACACCATTACAGCAGTTCTTTCATTTCTTTCTATTACAATTCTACTGTGATTTACTGAGAGAACAAGAAATGTTAAGTAGAGGATCCAAAAACGGGACCCAAAAAATGTAACCCATATTATGGGGAGAAAGAACCAATGTATTCATTTCCTTTTTTTTCACTGCAGTTGGCTGAGGGAATGAAGTTAAGTCTTGAAACCATGTTTGTACCAAATACAGGGTAAGTATTCCTCTCAAAGGCCTCTTGCGTTACATCCCTTCCCGCGTAGGATGTGGCATAACATCCAGACCGCTTTTCTAAATCCATGAGGACACCCTCTCTCTCCCGGAACCGCCCAGGCACTTTTGGAAAATGACCAGGAGGCTGTGGGAGATCAGTTGTTAATAGAAAATGCTTGTCCTTCTACACGTATGTAACATGCCTTTAACATGTCAACAAAATACAGTTTGGGGATCCCATCGATGCCTCCTAACTATTGCAGGGACTTGGTTGCTGACTATTTTCATAACATTGAGTTGGCCGAGCTCTGATCCTTCAAATGTAGTAAAAAATGTCAATAAAACATAGTCTGTGCTATATACTAAGACAGCCTGACCCGAATTTTTCTCTTCTTTTTCTTCTTCTCCTCCTCCTCCACCTCCCCTTTGCCAGGAAGAAAAGTGGGAAGTTGAAGACCTCTTACAAACGAGAATATATAAATTTAGGTTGTAACGTTGACATCGATCTCTCCGGACCAACCGTTCATGGCTGGGCTGTTTTGGGCTATGATGGTTGGCTGGCTGGCTATCAGATGGCTTTTGACACAGCTAAATCCAAACTTTCACAGAATAATTTTGCCTTGGGTTACAAGGCAGCAGATTTCCAGCTGCATACAAATGTGTAAGTACTGATTGAAGGACGAGGGGTGGGCGGGGGCTGAATGTGTGTGAGTGAGATAAACTATTACAGTTGAACAGTTGCCTGTCCTTGATAGTGGGGGAGGCGAGGAGGAGTGAAGACTTTCAGACTAAATGAAATCTTGCTGTACCTGAAATAAGGTTTCTTTCCTACTTATCAGTTGAGATTTTGGTGGAGAAGCAGCTGGTAAGCTTTTTATTTAGCAGGTCCTACATTTTGAGAAGAGCTGAAGTGTCAGAGTGCAGACACAGCCGACTGGCTGGTTGTAGTCATGTCCATCCTGAAGAATTTGGACTCCTCGTTTATATTTCTGCCTGGTTCTTCTTCCCTGTATCTACACTGTGACTTATACAAAGATTGTAGGAAGAAAGCTGTGGCAAAAAAACAACCACCACAAAAAAACCCAGGAATTTGGAAGGATCTGATGAAGGCGCTCAGGTCTTTGAATAAAGCATGTTAGTTGGAAAAAGTGCAAGCAAACTTCTGATTTCGCCAATTGATAAGTGATTTTTAACTTTACGCGCTTGCTCCATCGCCTGGTACAGCTGGGAGAAATCCATATTTTTGTAACCTTTTCAATTCCGGCTGTTCTTGAGGAATCTTTGTACATCACCTCGCTCTGAAGTGATGGATACATTCAAAGAATGCCAAGGCCAGAGGAAAATTATTCAATTGGATTATTCAAACACTTGTCAGTCTGTTTACTCAAGGAGAACAGGGGAAGCAAAAGGTGTGGTTGTGTGTGTGTTGGTGGTAGTGGTGGGTTTGAATCGAGGCAGAATACTTTTTAAGGGCAGAAATGGAATTTCTTCTGATTTGTTGCCAACAGGAACGATGGCGCTGAATTTGGTGGCTCAATCTACCAGAAGGTTAATGACAAGGTTGAAACAGCTGTAAGTCTTGCTTGGACTGCCGGTAGTAATAACACTCGGTTTGGCATTGCCTCCAAATACCAGCTGGATGATAAAGCCTCAGTCTCGGTAAGAACTTTGCCAGTTTTCTAGAATATTGCAACTATGCGTTGGTTAATGGAGTCGTTTGGATGTCATATTTTTTTCTCTCCCTTCTCTCTTCCTCCTATTTACTTAGAAGTTTGGAAACTCCTTGTTGGTTAATGATTTTTCTGAATCTGCCATAGCTGTGGTTAATTTCAGTTTAAGCCAGCTTCAGGGACTATGATTTGAGGTTGGCTTGTTAGCCATTGCTAAGTTTGGATGATGTGACATTGAACAGCAGAATTTGAGGGCAAGCACAGACTATTTGCATCTCACTAAACCGTCATTTAGCAAAATTTCTGAACCTCCTCTCTGAATGTGTTGCACCCGTTTTTGCTACTTCTTAGTTTTAGAATATGGAACATAGAACATTTTTAATTAAGTTTGTTACCATGATGGGAAACACTAATATCAAACTTTCCTTTTGGGACCTTCTTTTGGAACTGTTTTGTATGTTTCAGTGAATGCTGCTAGTTTACAAATACGTTTGTGAATATGATCATTTGCTGATGGTAGCCTTAAGCGAAGTGTCCTTAACCTGGGATTCATGGATAGACTCAGAGGATCTAGGAACTTGAGTAGGAAAAAAAATTGCAATCTTATTATCTCTAACCTCTAACATATCTTTAGTTATTTACCAATGAATGTGGGCAATCAATTAATTTATGGCCTCTAGACTGAAAGAAAATCCCTTAGTTATTTCCCAGTAGTTTCATATATAAGATATATTTCATATATTCATATATTTCATATATAAGAACAGCAAGATTTCTATCTATGGTTTAGGAACTGTTCTTTTATCCAAGGTCAGTGAAGGAGAATCCTTTTTATGGGCAATTGTTACTAGCTTTTCCTTATCTGTAAGTTATTAGCTCTCGTTCTCAAACTTCCGCGTTCAAGATATATGCGTAAATGCTTATCCTAGGAAGGAACCCACGTGTTACTTATGCGCTACACTTTTTTTTCCCTTTCTTTTTAGGCCAAAGTGAATAATGCCAGCCTCATTGGACTTGGTTACACTCAGACTCTCCGACCTGGTACGTTAATGATCTGCTTTTCATTTTAATAATAGTTGTACAAAGCTTCTCGCGATTGTGATCGTCGGCTTGGAAGCCTGCAGGCAATCTCAGCTGTCATTCAGAATAGCTCAGTGGGATTCCATGTGGATCACAGGAGTGGAGTAGACAAATCCGGCCAAGAATAGTACGTGTTGTAACAACCATGCCAAGAGAGAATCCTGTCCTAAGAGCTGAAGGTCAAATGAAGGGAAGGTAGCTAGATTAAACAAAGCTAGTCTGGAGATTTCTCATGGCGAAACTCTCCAGCAAACGGAAAGTGGCTTGAACAAAAACTTAAGAATCTTCAGACCTGGCATTCTGTGCTTCAACTTTCCCACCCTTTCTCCTCCTGCCTGTTATTTTTTTCCCCCCAGAATTTTCCCCTCCAGAATTTCTCTAATTCTGCTGTTTCTCATTCTCTAACGATGTCATCTTTCTATCAGGTGTGAAGTTGACTCTCTCAACTTTGATCGATGGCAAGAATTTCAGCACCGGCGGCCATAAAATCGGTCTGGGATTTGAGCTGGAAGCTTAATGTAGGTATTGATGAAGTATTAGATCTTTATTTGGAAGATGAAGGAGAAAATAAAACCCCACATGTTCTGGCCTTAAACTCTTCTGTGAAACTTCAAAAAGCGTGAACTTGATATTCTTCCAAAGAATTGTTGTAACCCCCCAACACTGAAGTCTGGAGAGTGCAACCTAATGAAGGGCAATACTTGAAGGAATGCATGGAAGTTGTAATGGTTGTAATGTTACATGGAAGTTGTAATGCTACATTTCAGTTCAGTTCTTCAGTTATTTTAAAAGTGTTCCTTGGAAGACAGCATAGCATCTGGTTAAAGGAAGAATCTCCCACTTCCCATCCTTCTGTGTTACTTCATCACATCGTGCATGTCCGACATTTCACGACCTTTTGTAAAACTGGTCTCTGTGCTGTAGTGAAAGCTTTGGTTTTGCATCAAAATGGAAATAAATGAAATCACATTTGGAACCCAATCCTTTGTTTGATTAATGCTACTTTTAAAATCCTAAATCTTCTCCGTTTGGGACCAAACCAGCCAAGATAGGAAAATAATTGTTGGAGGGGGATTGCTTGACATTTCTGTAACTCACACAGATTTGCTGCCAAAGGAATTTTTTTTTAAAACTGCTGCTCTCTCTCGAGTAGAAAAACTAGATTCTTTTATATAGCACTTGATAGAGAATAAATATAGTGGTAGTAACAAGTTAAATGACCTTTTCTTCACCACTGGAGGAAGACATGCTGAATAGCAGCATCCACCATTTGAGATATGTTTCTTTTTTCTTTTTGCTATTTCCCTCTCGAGGAATAGCATGATCACAATGTGTGCCTTTCAGATACTATCAACTAATACTTGCTTAACAAATAAATCAATAAAATAGCTACTGTGTTAAGTCTGTTTCTGTATTAAAACTGGTAATTTATAGTCTTTATTACAACAATACCTATTTTTCCATCATGGTCTGCTGTAAAAATAATGGGATCCTTTTTTGCAGCTGGAGGACAGTTAATTTTTTTAAACTGGTCTCTGAGGCCTGCAGAACATAATGGCTTGGGAAAAGATTCAGGCAAGACTTTAAGGCACAAAGTGTTCTCTTTTAATAATGTATTTTAAAATGTAAGCTTAATGTATCCACTTCTTCCTCTTTTTAGAAAAAAAAAATCACTGGGAATAATTGAACCATGGAATATTGGTGGTTCCTCAAATCCTAGATATTTCACTGCTTTCTATTTTTTTTTTTAACCGTAACTCAACGCAAAACCTGGTTAGAGGGGACCAAAATCTTTGGCCCGTTCACACTAGAAGAAGAGCGGTGAATTTACCACTTACAATAACCAAAATAAGGCTTCAATATCTTTTTATTTCTTCGATGAGTTTTTTTACTTCTCTCAAAAAAGTGTTAACACTAAAGTCCATGGAGGAAGCTGTAAAACTAAATGCTGGGAGTGCATCTATAACAGTGCCTGCAAATGCCATTCAAACTTTCCAATGACTTCAGGAGGAAAGACTGCGTGTAGAGAGACTGATCTGTTGGCCTCTGTCCCTACATCATGAAGTTCCCAGCTCTCATGGAAATCGGCGCAGCTTCTGTCCCACAAATATATTCAGAGCAATATTAACAGAATTGTATCCTATGTGGAAGCCTCATGTTAAGAGTGCTCCACGTTCTTTCCTTGCTGGAAATGGCGATTTATTTTTTTTTCTTGTGTACATCCGTGTAAAAAAAATATATGCCAACTGTTTTCAGTGTCTGCAATTAAGCAGTAATACGGAAACAGGCACCACCAGGTCAAACAATGGAAACCGTACAGAAAAATATAGTTTATATTACAGTAGAGTAAGAATCAAATACAACACTTAGGGTCACCCAGCAGGCTGCAAGTATAGATTTCTTACCAAGAACAGCACTTACACTAAGGTCAGGTCATCAACATGATGGAAAGTTAATTATTATGTGATTAAATTAAGATTATAGTCACATCTGAGTTTGTTCTAGCCTTTTTCGTTCTTCCGCTGGAAGTTCCAGCCAACTCCAGTCCAAACTCTAAATAGAAAGAAAATTTATGTTCCTATTAATGTCCTCTGCATTTGTTAACATACAGATAGATCAGAGGCGAACAATTCGTTTTCCCACATGAGAAACCATTGCTGTTGGGGCGAGCTGATGCCTCAGTGGTTAGAGTGCAGTCCTGCAGGCTGCTTCTGTTGCCTGCCAGCAATTTGGCAAGTTCAAATTTCACCGGGCTCAAGGTTGACTCAGCCTTCTATGCTTCCAAGATGGGTCAAATGAGGACTCAGATTGTTGGGGGCAAGAGGCTGACTCTGTAAACCGCTTAGAGAGGGCTGGAAAGCACTGTGAAGCGGTATATAAATCTAAGTGCTATTGCTACCCTGTTTCCCCGAAAATAAGACATCCCCTAATAATAAGCCCAATTGGGCTTTTGAGCACATGCACTAAAATGCATGTGCTCAACCTTCCCCAACCTTCTTTCCTTCCGTCGCGAGCTGAAGACGTGGCTCTTTCGTCAACTCAACTGATCCGTTTGGGGGTACACTGTCATAATTTTAAACTATTTTTAATAGGGTTGCTGATTTTAATTTTATTTCATTGTGATTTGTATTGGAATTTGTCATTTTGTACGCTGCCTTGAGTCCCCAGGGAGAAAGGCGGCATATAAATCACAATAATAAATAAAATAAGCCCTCCCCGAAAATATTTAAACACAGAGCTGGAAATCAAGACAGACAGCAAGAGGAGCCCCATCTTGCTCCACGCCCCCCCAAATAATAAGACCTCCCCCAAAATAAGGCCAAGTACTTATTTCAGGGTTCAAAAAAAATATAAGACAGGGTCTTATTTTCGGGAAAACATGGTACCAACCCCACCCCCGATGACGATGCCTGCTACCCCAGGCTGGAGTGGAACAGCCCATGGGCCGGATGTGGCCTCCATGCCTTAAAATGCTCGGGTCTGAGATAGACCAATAGATATGTGAGTTAAGTCATTTCTCCCCCTCCTCTTTTTAATTTTTCTTTTCTATTTTCTATCTCTGTTTTAAGCAGTATTCTGTATAACTAGTTGGCTGAAAAGTGGGAATGGCTCTTACTACTTTTCTCCCAACCCAGGGGTCAGCAACCTACGGCTCTGGAGCCGCATGTGGCTCTTTTATCCCTCTGCTGCAGCTCCCTGTCACCGGTCGGCTCCACAATTGATAGGGCTTTCGGTAAGGATAGGTAGAGAAAAAAAGACGCCATGCTAGGAGGAAACTCTATAGTGGGGGAACCGGACTTCCAGTCGGCTTCAGAATGGAATGGGGGGCTTCCGGTTAGGACTTCGTGGCTCTTTGAGTGTTTAAGGTTGCCGACCCCTGTCCTAACCCATCACCCATCTGCTAGAGAGGACCAGAACTTACCATAAAGCTGTGCTCTTGATCCCTCATTGTATCAACCATGACATTCTCCAGCTGACTGCAGAGGCTGTGAGTTTCCACCAGAAGATCCTCACTAAGAGACCAAATTATAAAAAAAAGAAGCTTTTATAAAGACAATTTCACAGGCAAAATGTTGGGTACAAAGAGAGGCCGCCCTCCTCATTCACTGCTTGCTTCGTCAGGAGCGAGCAAGCTTTTCATTTCTTAAGAATTCTGTACTAGCCCAATTAAAATAGTACTTAATTTCGCACGACATTGATTTTTTTTTTCCTAAATACAAAAGGCTTCAAAGGACAATCCACTACGTTCTTAAATAGTCTTCAAGAAAATAAGTGTAACAAGCTCCTGAATTAATAGATATATCTGAGATTCTGCCAGTTTCCGTTATAGGTAGCCCTAATTGGGCCTGGCAACTCCACCACTAAGCAACGGGGTTCCTGAATGGGCAATCCCAGGACCTTGACTGCTTTTTGATTGGAAAAAGACAAAATTACTCAGTTTTATACCTTCAGTTTTGTTTGCCTCTTAAGCACTCTTTGAATGCTCAAGTGCCTGCTTGCTGTCCTGAGAGCACTCAAAGCAATGCAATCACATAGAAGTCTCGGCTTGGGAGCTGCAGGCGCACTACACAAGCAGCTTGTTCTCTTGAAATCCCTTTCTCTCCAATATCTCTGCTCAGGGTGGCGGAGGACCAAGGTAGTCTCTCTCTTGCCTGACTCCTCCCAGCAGAACTGAGATTGAAGAGGGATTTTAAGAGAGTAACCTGTTTAGACAGCAAGAAAATGTCAGGCAAAGAAGAGAACGCCTACAGAAATGGCTTGCTTTTTTTTTTCCTAATACCCCTCTCCCCTCGCAACAGAGCAGAGAGATTGGAGAGAAAGATTTCAAGAGAATATTGTAAGATGTTTACATAATGTGCCTCTCCAATCTTTCTTCTTGGGGGGAAGAGAGCAAGCGATTCCTCTAGGCAATCTCTCCTTTGTTGCTGGCACAATCACATTACTATCAAAAGCAAATAGCTTGTTCACTTGTAATCCCTTTCTCTTCTATCTTTCTATTCTGGGGGAGGGGGGAAGATTAAAAAAAACAGGTCAAGCACAGGACAATATATACTAACGGCGATCACGTGACTAAGGGAAGCAACAAAGGTCATAAATGAGCCGTAGCTATTTTTTCAGCACCGTTCTAACTTTGAACAGTCACTGAACAAACGGTCGGTAAACAAAGATTACCTGTACTACAGTTTTCTCTGGAAGAATATGAAAAAATAATATACATAAAAAGATATTGGGAACCAGTAATTGACTCCTGATTTTGTATAAACAGTGAAACAATATTTTTTGGGGTAAATGTACCCATAATGAGACTTAAGTATTCCCTTCGTGAACTGTGTATCTGCAACCAAAATCTGCTACCCTTTACATATGATTCACTAGCTTTCCCCTCTTACACGAGTATCAGTGGTGGGTTGCCCCCAGTTCGGACCAGTTCACAAGAACCGGTAGTAAAACCAGCGGGAGGCTCTGCCCACTAACCCGGACGTCATCATAGGTGATCTGTGCATGTGGGTGCGGGCACAATGCAAACAGGTAGTAAAGGTAAGTAGAACCCACCCCTGATGAGTATGTAATACTTATGCCCCAAAGAACCTGTTGGTACCATGAATCTATAATAAAAGCTATATGGAAATACAGACATTTAAATACGTTTTCGAACTAATGAAATTGCTGAATCGTGTTCCGTGTATTTTGACATTCTTGAAGCACACGAGTTTGCCTTTAGAGATCTCTACTGATCTCTAAATATAAATCACAATATTAGATATCAACCCGATTTACTGTGTGTCACGCATCACGTTACTCATTCAACTGCCTCTGATCTCTTTGAAAAAAAGGGAAAGATAAGTTTCCTTATGGACTGAACGTATTTCAGCAATGCTGCCCTGCTACATATCTGGCAGCGTGGTTTCCAACAGCTGCTTCTATTTTGAGGGTGGGGCCGGCGTATGTCTACGAGCAAAGTGCATTGAACGGACCGCGTGCCAAAATGGGATTGCTATCCGGTGGATCAGAACTTGGAGACACACATTTTAAATTTAAAAGATGGTGGCGCAGCAGACTAAAGCACTGTTAAGTAACACCAGCTGCCTGCAATTACTGCAAGTTCAAATCTCCCCAGGCTCAAGGTTGACTCAGCCTTCCATCCTTCCGAGGTAGGTAAAATGAGGACCCGTATTGTGGGGGCAATAAGCTGACTTTGTATAAAAAAAGAACACCGCTTAGAGGGGAGCCGAAAGCCCTACTAAGCGGGTATATACAAAAGTATGAAGGCTATTGCTTAAAAGCATTGTAAGCCGCCCTGAGTCTCCGGAGAAGGGCAGCATATAAATCGAACCAATTAATTAATTAATTAAGCAGGTTCTAGACAGGAGGTTTAAACTGTTTTAATTGGGTTGTTGATTTTAATTTCATTGTGATTTGTATTGGATATTTTTTCTGTAAGCCGCCCTGAGTCCCTCGGGAGAACGGCGGCATGTAAATCGCAGTAATAAATAAATAAAATAAAATAAAATGAGCTGCTGTAGTTGGTTTCTGGGTCAACCGTCTGGATTATCAACAGACAATGCCATCTGCAGATGTTAAGAGCAAAAGCATATTACGTGCTAAAAGGGAATAAAACCATTTATTCGATGCTGGTAATCTGTGAGATTGAAAATGGGCAAGCGGTAGCACTTCCCACTCAAATATATTTTCATTTCTCCTTTACAAAGCCAGACGGGAAAACTAACTTTCAATTTCGCAGCTATTAAGATTGTTGGCCGAGCAGGTACAAAGATAGCCAGGGAAATGATTGAAGCCTGGGAAACGTGCTCCTTGTCAGTCAACAGGACTGCTGATTTACCACCAGCTTATCAAATACTTAGGAGCCAAGGACTTGGCGGCCCAAGGAAAAACAGCCAATCATTGGCCATCAACCCAACAATCAACCAATAGGAAGCTACCGCATAAAAACGAATCACAGGATAGCCCCGTGATTGGGTGGGTTCTACTTACCTTTACTACCAGTTCACAATGGGGCTTGCTTGGCGCTCTCTCTCGCGCTTCTGCACATGCGCAGAAGCGTTTTGATGACATCGGGGTCGGTGGGTGGAGCCTCCCGCCGGTTTTACTACCAGTTCTATAGAACCCAGGTTGATGGCAAACCTATGTTGGAAGTGGCACGCAGAGCCATCTCTCCGGCCACGCGAGCTGTTGCCCATTGCTCTTCCAGGTTCCGGTCCGCCGGCCAGTTGGCCTTCACGTGCATGGGAGCATCAGAAACCAGAAGAGCAGCTTCCCGGTGTGCACGCATGCACCAGGAAGATGATCTTCTGGTTTCCAGCGGGCACATACGCACTGGCCACCTGGTCTTCCAGTTTCTGGCAGCCATGCGAGCGCGAAGACTACCTGCTACCTGAATAATGTGCTAGGGAAGGCTCTTATCTCCTGGATGAAGCGTTAAAAGACTGAGGTGTTTCTATATTGCATTATATGATCCTGCACTGCTGAGTGGGACCACGTCACCCCTCCCTATGACTTGTCCCCCTTCGGCAAACAAGGTCAACCGCTTTTGACTGGAGCTTCAAGTCAAAAGGACACTGGATCTTAATGCAAAACGGAACAGATGCCTCTTTCTCCACGCACTGACTCTGGAAGTCAGGTGGGCACCCCCTGGTTGACCTCGGCTAATCTCAAAAAGCAAAATGAGACTGGATCAGATGACTTTTTGGACCGAAGGCCAATTTCAAGATAAACTGGAAAGAAAGAATGGGAAAAGAAAAGGAAAAGGAAAAGGAAAGAGGGAGGGAAGGAGGGAAGGAAGGAAGGAAGGAAGGAAGGAAGGAAGGAAGGAAGGAAGGAAATCAATCCCAGAAGGCAGCAATGGAAATTATTTCCAAACCATTACCATGAAACTAGGTAAAGTTCAACTCAAAGAAGATTCCAATTTGGAATATGTTACCAAACTTCTTTTTCTCAAAAGATTAATGGAAACAGTTGAAGTTGAAATGATGCAAACTGTAGCTAAATACCAGATCCACGTCAACCGACCAACTGCAGGCAGGGCCAGATATATTCCAATTTTGGAAGCTAAACTATTTTTTCACCATTACCTTTTAACCCCAGAATCCACCAAATGATTCTGTGGAGTTGTAACCTGGAGTGACAGCTGACCAGGGTTACTAGGCCGCGATATGTTGATGCTATCTGGACTTCCACTGACCGGCCCACGGACTTTGCTCTGCGGAAGGGGAAAGGGAAAAAAAAAAGGTGGTTTTGCATGCAAACTGGAAATTGGGTACGTTAATGGGATGCCTTAAATCAACATGAATTTTCTTCATTGCTTCTTTGCCAATACTGCGGAATTTGAGCATTTCCCATCAAGTAGATTTAGATATGGGTAGTCCTTGACTTATGACCACAACGGGGTCCAAAATGTCTACTGCTAAGCAAGACATGTGAGTTTTGCCTCATTTTATGACCTTTCTTGCCACGGTTGCTAAGTGAATCCCTGCAATTATTAAGAAACACGGTTGCTAAGCGAATCTTCCCCACTGACTCTGCTTGTCAGAAGGTGATCGTGTAACACTACAACCTTTATAAATATTAACCAGATGACAAGCATCCGAATTCTGATCACATGATCATGGGGATGCTGGAATGGTGGTGTGAAAATGGCCAGAAGTCACTTTTTGCCATGGTGGCGCAGTGGTTAGAATGCAGTATTGCAGGCTAACTCGATGTTCACTGCCAGCAGTTCGATCCTGACCGGCTCAAGGTTGACTCAGCCTTCCATCCTTCCGAGGTCATTAAAATGAGGACCCAGATTGTTGGGGGCAAGAAGCTGACTCTGTAAACTGCTTAGAGAGGGCTGTAAAAGCACTGTGAAGTGGTATAAGTCTAAGTACTATTGCTATTTTCCTTCCTTCCTTCCTTCCTTCCTTCCTTCCTTCCTTCCTTCCTTCCTTCCTTCCTTCCTTCCTTCCTTCCCTCCTTCCTTCCTTCCTTCCTTCCTTCCTTCCTTCCTTCCTTCCTTCCTTCCTGTTAGAATGCAATATTACAGGCTAATTCTGCGACTGTCAGGAGTTCGATCCTGACTGGCTCATGGTTGACTCGGCCTTCCATCCTTCCGAGGTCGATAAAATGAGGACCCAGATTGTTGGGGGCAAGAGGCTGATTCTGTAAACTGCTTAGAGAGGGCCGTAAAACACTATGAGTCTAAGTGCTATTGCTATTGCTATTTTTCAGTGCTGTTATAACTTTGAATGGTCACTGAACGAATGTCTCTGGAGATTCTCAAATCATCCAGGTCATGGTTTATTTATTTATTGGTTCGATTTATATGCCACTCTTCTCCGGAGACTCAGGGCAGCTTACAATGCGTTAAGCAATAGCCTTCATACTTTTGTATATACCTGCTTAGTAGGGCTTTCTGGACCCCCCTTCCTAAGTGGTGTTCTTTTTATACAAAGTCAGCTTATTGCCCCCACAATCCGGGTCCTCATTTTACCTACCTCGGAAGGATGGAAGGCTGAGTCAACCTTGAGCCTGGTGAGATTTGAACTCGCAGTAATTGCAGGCAGCTGGTGTTACTTAACAGCACTTTAGTCTGCTGCGCCACCAAGGCTCTTGTTATGGTTGTCCCAACGGTGCTTTTTCAAGAAGCAACTGGACTTTCCAGAAAGTCCAGTTACCTCTTGAAAAAGCACCTTTGGGTCACTGAACAAATGGTCGTAAGTCGAGGATTACCTGTCATAAGATTTTACTCACACATGCAATTTTCAGGAGGTTCCAGAGCTCTTTCTGTCGTTTCTCCTGAAGCCGGACAACTGTTTTCTCATCTTCGTGCATAAGAGTCATCACCTCATCTACCTTAGGAAACAATTCCAGGGCCTTCTGCTTACAGACCACTGTATTACTGCAAAAATGACAATCAGGTCACCTGTTAAGCAGCTGCACCCCAGGCGGCCAGGATGTTACAGTTGCTTTTAGCTCTCTGCGTGCTGAGAGTATTCCCCCTGCTGTACCTATATTCCGAATTCTCAGCCCACTTGCGTTAGAAGGCAATTTTGGGAGTCTTACCTGAGCTGTACGTAAAGGAGGCGGATCTTCTTTTCAAAGGTCTGGATTGCCTGTAGGAGCAACCGTACTACTTCTTGGCTGTCCCCGCTAGTCCTTTGATCTGGAGAAGAATGAGAAGTGTGCAAAACACGATGAACTATTTTAGACACGAGAAGAGATGGAAAGAGACACTACTAAATTCTGCCGTTGCTGGAGGGCTCAAGAGTGGTTGGGCTACCCTGGTAGCTTTCAATGCTTTGGGTCCACCAGCTTCAAGAATTCCCAAGCATAAATCTTGGGTTGTCGCACAAAAGGAAATAAATACAACATACAATCAAGTCAAGTTCAGGAGTTTGTGTTGTGGTCCGCCCGCAGTCCGCGGAGCTGGCAGCAGTCGGACGGCGATGAGGCTGAGGAAGAACAGGGGCCAGTCCTGGAGGCTGGGGAAGGCCGGGATGAGGGCTCTGCGTCGGAGGCAGAGATGGGGCCAGGGCCATCGGGGAGTGATGTGTGGACTTCAGAGCCTCCAGAGGCTGACAGTAGAGAGGCAGAGGAACAGGAGGAGCCTGTTCCTAATGCACACATGAGAAGAGCTGCCAGAAGGCAGCAGCAGCTAAAGCAGAGAGGACGACTCGGGAGTAGGACCAAGAGATGATTGGCCCCTCCCATAAGGCTTAAAAGACCAGCAACAGCTTTTGGCCTCTTTGCCAGAAAAAAACCGTTGAGAGAATTGCTTCTTGTTTGGCTGTAGTTATTTCTTCTGCTTCTGAACTTTTGCCAAGAGAAGCCTTTGGCAGTTTGCCTAATTATCCCAAGGTCGGTGATAAACTGAGGAATGGTGTTTTGAAGAATTTGCTTTAATTTAGTTTGGACTCCGCTGAGAATGAGTTCATTCTCAGCTGTTCTAATAAAGTCTGTTTGTTTTCGAACTGTTTGCATTTAATACTAACTACTTGGGCCTGGGTCACAACAGTTTGATGATGCTGTGTTTTCTATTCTAAAAAGTTACTTGTGGAGAATACAAGTGAAGAACTTGTCTGTAGCTGCTTAAAACAACTTCCACATTCCTACTCTTTGAGTTCAGGAAGAAAAAAAAATATACCCTTAATTTGTATTATTAGTCACATGTCAGCAAACTCTGAGGGAAGGCTCCTGTTTGCATCAAACATGGCATAATTACATTTTGTTACATATCTTATTGCAGATGACTATTCATTTATATTTTCTAAAACTATTTAGAAATCAGTTCTATTTTGGTGAAAGCATGAAAAAAAAATCCAGATTTGTACCATATCCTTTTCACAAAAAAGAAGTCTCCTTTTTCACAAAAAAGGAGTTTGGATAGCTCAGCAGACTAATGCATTGTAATTTAACTCCAGCTGTCTGCAATTACTGCAAGTTCGAATCTTGCCAGGCTCAAGGTTGACTCAGCTTTCCATCCTTTCTAAGGTAGTAAATTGAGGACCCAGTTTGTGAGGGCAATAAGCTGACTTTGTATAAATATACAAAAGGATGAAGGCTATTGCTTAACGCATTGTAAGCCGCCCTGAGTCTCCGGAGAAGGGCGGCATATAAATCAAATTTAAAAAAAAGTGAGTTATGTCAAATGGGCTTCCTAGGATAACAGCAGTACTTTATGTTCTGTGAAATAAAATCCAGATTAAAAAATTGGGGGGTGGGGGGGGAGTTTGTAATGCGTTAAAATGACGGAAGATTTAAGCTTGAAAACTGCATCTGGCTATTTCTCTCTGGTTTTATAAAGTGGTCTCTGTAAAAAAAAAAAACTATGGAGCAAGAATCCAATGCTGTAAAGAACAATATATTACCTCTTGGTTTTTCTCTCAATTTTCGGTACAAGTCTCTTGCCTGGTTCTCCCTATTGAAAAAAAAAAAAGGAAGAGTAAAGATTTCAAATATTGTTTTATCAAGAACTGTTTTCTGTTTTTGTGGTGGCCAGGATATCATCTAAGAAACCTGCCTTTCTTAGATGGCAATCTGACTAGGGCCCTTATAATTTATGGTTAAATTACTGGTTAATTTAAATACTGGTTATTTAAATACTGGTTATTTACGGGACTGCCTATTACCACCAATAGCCTCCCACCGGTCGGGGGAGAGGGGCTCATAGAGAGGGGCTCCTCCGGGTGCCGTCGGCCAAACAATGTCGACTGGAGGCCCCTAGGGGGAGAGCCTTCTCTGTGGGGGCACCTACTATCTGGAACGAGCTCCCCCCGGAGATACGGAGGATCCCGGACCCGCGCACCTTCCGCCGCGCTCTTAAGACTTTTTTATTCCATCAAGCCGACCTGGCCTAATCTTTTCCCTCTTTTTAATTACGCAAATTTTAATTGGTTTTTTAAATGATTGGCGTTTTAATATGTTTGGGCCAAATTTGTTTAATTCGATTTTATTTTGTTTTTAAATTTTGTATTTATGTATTTTTACTGTTTGGCTGTTCACCGCCCTGAGTCCTTCGGGAGTAGGGCGGTATATAAATTAAATAAATAAATAAAATAATCAAAGGCTAATGGTGCCCAGAAATATTTGCCTTAAGGGAACAGCGGAATCAGGTATATGATATGAACACAACTTATTGGGGGGGTGGGAAATGCTATTCTTTGCTGCTCCGAACGAATGGATATTGGAACAGATCCTTCTTTTAAGCAGATTATGACGACTGCTAGATAAGGAGTACCATGAAGTCACAACTTACAGATCATCCAAGGAGCTCCCTTGTTTTCGGCCCTGTGGGATTCTCTGTAGTTCCACGATGTCTGTCTGCAGGGCCATCGTCTTCTTCACCAGCTGCTCCGCGTCTTCCTCCTTTCAGAGGCAAAGGAAGGGTAGAGCCTTGGTAGTACAGTGGTCTAAGGCACCCTGTTATTAAGCTGGTTATTAAGACCAGCTGCCTGCAATTACTGCAAGTTCGAATCTCGCCAGGCTCAAGGTTGACTCAGCCTTCCATCCTTTCTAAGGTAGGTAAAATGAGGACCCAGTTTGTGGGGGCAATAAGCTGACTTTGTATAAATATACAAAAGTATGAAGGCTATTGCTTAACGCATTGTAAGCCGCCCTGAGCCTCCGGAGAAGGGCGGCATATAAATTAAAGCAAAAAAAAAAAGGGGGTACAAAGAAGGAATAGCAGAAACCGCTCTTGGGCCTTAGTGAGCCATATGCTTCTAACTACAGTTTAACCAGCTGGTAGCCATTTCTTTTTGGAATTATCTGGTTTGAGTATCAAATGGCTGGTTTACCCAATATGCTATGTCGACATTGGCTGAATATTCACAATTTGTTGAGTCACAAATTATCCAACATCCTCTTAGTTTGACCTGGCCTGCTGCATGAACCCAACTTGTATTGAATCCGCCCGATTTGCCAAAAGTTGATATATATAAAGTAAAGGTAAAGGTTCCCCTTGCACATATGTGCTAGTCGTTCCTGACTCTAGGGGGCGGTGCTCATCTCCGTTTCAAAGCCGAGGAGCCAGCGCTGTCCGAAGACGTCTCCGTGGTCATGTGGCCGGCATGACTCAACGCCAAAGGCGCACGGAACGCTGTTACCTTCCCACCAAAGGGGGTCCCTATTTTTCTACTTGCATTTTTATGTGATTTCGAACTGCTAGGTTGGCAGCAGCTGAGACAAGGAACGGGAACTCACCCCGTTATGCGACACTAGGGGTTCGAACCGTTGAACTGCCGACCTTTTGATCGACAAGCTCAGCGTCTTAGCCACTGAGCCACTGCGTCTCCTGACCTATATATATATATGAGTTCCAGGTATATTTGAAGAGAAAGAAGCAGACATTCTGCGAGCTCCGGAACTAAAATAATTAAAATTTTATTCTACTAAACTTTCATCAGCCATCTGCTGACATTGTCAGAGTATTAAACTACCATTACAGAGATCTCTGCCTTTATATGCCATTAATCGATACCTCAATTTTATTTGAGTTAATGTGTACCTCTAGATAAAAATTTAGAGCAAAAAGCATCCTTCTTAGGTTCTGAAACCAAAGACCAACCTAAGTAGAGTTTAATTTTCACTGATACCTTGTAAAAGATGGCTCCGTGCATAAATCAATTTAACATGTTTAAAGCTTTTGACGGATAGCAATACTTGTTGCTTACATATTCTGAATGAGAACAGAAACAATGATGTTGAGGTAGCAGACTACCAAAGAGCCAATAAGCTCCAGAATCAAATGTCATTGTGAACATTACATTTCACTAGGCAGCATCTCTGTCTCAGCCTATTTGCCACAGAAGCACAGGAATACAGAACTCCTGTATGGTTCACACACAGAACTAAGCAATATTGTGGTTTGTTCATTCATGTCACACCCACTCATCTTGACATGTTCAACAAACCAGGTTTCTTCCTTTAGTGACCTTGGCCAGCCTATACAAGAGCCGGGGAAAATATTTATTCTACGGTTATCAAATCTAATTTTAAGTAAATTACAACTTACTCTTCCACGAAGCTCGACGGTCTGTTCCATCTCCTTCCAAGCAAGTAGCAGTTTCTCAGAAGCTGTAAAAAGAAACACCGCTATGATTTTCGGTTTGATTTAAAAAGTGCCTGTTTCTAAATTAATAAAATGTCCATTTGGGCTGTTTTATTAAGGTAAAGGTAAAGGCTCCCCCGCACATGCATGCTAGTCGTTCCCGACTCTAGGGGGCGCTGCTCATCTCCGTTTCTAAGCCGAAGAGCCAGCGCTGTCCGAAGACGTCTCCGTGGTCATGTGGCTGGCATGACTCAACGCCAAAGGCGCACGGAACGCTGTGACCTTCCCACCAAAGGTGGTCCCTATTTTTCTACTTGCATTTTTTACGTGCTTTCGAACTGCTAGGTTGGCAGAAGCTGGGACAAGTCACGGGAGCTCACTCCCTTACACGGCACTAGGGATTTGAACCGCGGAACTGCTGACCTTTCGAACGACAAGCTCAGCGTCTTAGCCATTGAGCCACCACATAGCTGTTTCATTAGGGTATAATAAAAACTTTAAAATGCTGATACCCTGGTGGGGAATACATTGATTTCATTTAGGCAATCTGAGATCGTGTGCCCAGCTAGATATTTGCACATTAGAAGATAGTTTGTATTTAGAAGAGAATCAAACCAGTAGAAAAACCATTCAAAATGTACTGTAGATTTTGTACATGCTACAGCAGGTCCGGGATGCAAATTCTAAGAGGCTTTCCCCCGCCCCCCTTGAAACTTGCTTTTTTGGCATGAACAGCTTATTCTAACTTCCAATCCCACCAAAAATAACCAGGATAAATAGATAGATAGACAGATACCTGACCCAGCTCATGCTGCTTCTTGTTGCATTATTATTATTATTATTATTATTATTATTATTATTATTATTATTATTCATTAAACATGAAACTCAGTCAACTGAACATTTAAAAATGCATCACAAATACGATTGACTAGTTGCTAATGGCTGATACGGGTTGCTGCCAGCGTCCTAGGTATCAACCTCTTAAAATATATGATGTTCCCAGTAGCACAGTTTTTTGCAGTTCTGCTGGTGTCATTGCAGGAAGCTGCAATTTCTTGATGTGTTTTGTAAAATTCTTGGACATGGTACCAAGTGCCCCGATGACAATGGGTATCACTGTGACATGTTTCATCCACAGCCATGTAGTTTTGATGGCAAGGTTGCGATATTTCGTGGTTTTTTTCCAGTTCTTTTTCTCCAACTCTGGTGTCTCCTGGTACTGCGATGTCAATAAATTGTACGTTTCGGTTTTTGACAACTGTGATATCTGGTGTGTTGTGTTCCAAGTGACGATCCGTCTGTATTCGAAAGTCCCACAAGATCTTCACCGTCTCATTTTCGATAACTTTTTCCACTTTTATGTTCCCATTGTCAAGTTTCGTGGTCGTCTCGAATAAAATGCATTTCAAACAGAATCTTTGCAGAAAAAACTCCTTTTTATTGAGCACGACATCCTAACATGACTCCATACGAAGCCAACACTAACGTCCAGCCACAAAACCCTCCCTTTCCGTTCCCCACTCCCCTGCACTCATTGGCCATCTTCCAAGTCATTCTACCCCTAATCTACTCCAACTCAAAGGAATTCCCCCCTCCCATCTCATCTCCTCGGAAACATTATCTCCACGGAAAATAAGTAGGTGAAAAGTCAGCCGTCCCTTTCCAGACGCCTTCGCTTCTCCTTCTTATGTCAGCACTAGAGTAAATGCAGGTTGAAGTGCTGACACCCATGACTTTTTGGATACAGGTTGCTGCTGTTATTATTATTTGGCCTTGAAACAAATCAGAACTAGGGAAAAGAACTCCTGACCACTGCTGACGTCTTATCAAAGAGAATGAAACTCACTGATTCCAAATTCAATTTGCTCGTTGTATTTCTCCAGATCAATCTGGATGCTGGTTTTGAAGAAGTCCAATTTTGCCTTCAGCTGCTGGGATAGTGAGGCCATCGTATTCTTCATCTTGGAAAGAGTGCTGTTGTGACGCAGCAGGTTCCGCCTACGAAGCCAGGAAGGGCGGGGGGGGGGGGGAAGAAAGAGAGTCACCCTCTGCAGAAACTCAACAGACCCTGCCCTGCATTGGGGGAGGAAGGAACCATTTTTTAAATTATTATTATTAACAGAGACATTCAAACTATAAGTAAGATGTAATGTAGCGCGGCTGGTGGTGGAATAGTTCCATTCCAGTGGCGGGGACACACATGTGTGTTAAGCAACATTTGCACGAGCTTCACGCACATGCGACCGCCACTAGCGCAAATGGAGCACACCAGTGGTAGGTTTCAAAAACTTTTACTACCGGTTCTGTGGGTGTGGCTTGGTGAGTGTCGCATGGCTTCGTCGGCATGGCAGAGGAAGGATACTGTAAAATCTCCATTCCCACCCCACTCCAGGGGAAGGAGACTGTAAAATCTCCATTCCCTCCCAATCAGCTGGGACTCGGGAGGCAGAGAGTAGATGGGAACGGGGCCAGTCAGAGGTGGTATTTACTGGTTCTCCGAACTACTCAAAATTTCCGCTACCGGTTCTCCAGAACTGGTCAGAACCTGCTGAAACCCACCTCTGGAGCAAACGCACACACACACTTGCCCACTGCTCGTGCAAGTCAGGATGCACTTGCCTGCCACTTCCATGGCCTGGTTCTGAACGGTTCAAGGCCCAGTAGTGAGCCACGGCCTGGAAGTTGGGGACCCCTGACTTACACAGCCCAAGTTTTTAAGACAGCACAGTGGATAAGGAATTGGGGCGATGAGGTCAGATGTAGGATGGTGCAGAGTTCAGAAAGACACCTGGATAGCCCCTTTCCTTAGGAAGACCGCTGTGATACGTACATTGCTGCTCGTTGTCCCTTCTGAAGCTGATTGAAGTCCTCGTTCAGACTTCGGATTGCATGCCACACCTGACCCCACACTTTGCGCAACTGCAAGAAGCTGAGGATCCTTTTGGGGTCTTGAACTGAGGAAGAAATATATCGTCGCTAAGAATGACCAGATGGAGAGATCAGGATCTCTCAAAAACAATCAACGAAAAAATTTTTTTGAGAAATTTTCAAAAAAAAATTTTTTTTTATTGGTGGATTTTATGGGTAAGGGGTTTTAAATTGGGGAAAGCCATTATGGATTTAATTTTGTTTTAAATGTATTTTAATGTTTATATTGTATGTTTTTTAATCTTGGCTGTTCACCGCCCCGAGTTCTTCGGGAGAGGGGGCGGTATAAAAATTTAAAAAATAAATAAATGAACAAGCTCATGCTAGTTCCTAGGAAAAGACCCGTGATATTTGAGAGGTTTAGATCTCCTGATTAATTGGATATCATGTTAAATTCTATCCAACCAAAGCCTCAATTGAGAATGTCTCTACTACAACGCGGACGTCGCCCGACTTGCCAACTGGCGTTCAGCTCAGTGCAGCAATTGGAATTGCGACGGCTCCACTACCTATCGGAAAAGGTCCGAGGTTTCCCCTGCTCAGTTGTGTAATTATATATCTAGCTACAAAAGCTCTTTACTGGAGCCTCTCATGCAAAAAGAAAAATAAGAAAGTTTCTTCCCATCCCAGATTCTTACGAATGTAGTTTATGCTTTCTGGATGGGACCGTGGAGAAATCTGAGACTCGTAGGCTACTTTTCGGTCATCAAACAGGAAGAAAAGGTTGGTGTCAGCAGCTGTGGCGTCATTAAGCTGGAAGAAAAAAAAAAAACTCATTTCAATGATGTTGTCAACATTCTGACTGACGAACCCAACCAAAGCAAGCACAGCCGAGACAATCCAATCTCGGAGTGCAAAACTTTATTGAATACATCATTTCGGCACAGATAGGGCAAAACTAGATCTAGTTAATTCCCGCGCGAACCCACTTAATTAAAGTATAGATTCTCCCTTCCCCTATTAGATCAGGTCACATTGTCCAATTGAGTCTCATTGTATTGTTCTGAGCAAAAGTCTTTGGCTCCGGCAAACACCTGCTGAAGTGTCCTTGGTTCTCACGGCTGTCTTCTTGATGTTTGAAGCCCACATTCCATCTCCCATTTCCCTTCCCCCTTAGTTCGTTGGCAAGGTAAGAAGCGATAATGGTTTGCAAGAAGCAAAAGCGCACTTCGAAACTTGACAGATGTAACGATATCAATGAAAAGTTTCTCTGATCATATCCAAGATCCCGCCTTGAGAGTCAAGGCAGGCACAGATAATTTCTTCAGTAGTCATCTTCCATCACAATTTTGCTAGTTCATGCAACTGAAAATTATGGATAATTTTCAAGCATTTCTTTAGCAAGCTCTTCCCCAGCTTTAAACATCAATACTTTTAAAAGGAAGAATTGTATGTTACAAGTATACTTTCTTTCAGCTGTCGTGTGGTTCAGAAGCATGCCTTTGTAGAGCTGATGTTAAGATACAGCCTTTTATAACAATTTTCCCTTCAATAGGCCAACTGATTAGCCTAAGGCGGGTGTCTGCAACCTGCAGCTCCGGAGCTGCATGCGGCTCTTTGGGCCCTCTGATGTAGCTCCCTGTTGGATGATCCCACCACTGGCTGGCCTTAGCCCTCACCCTCCCCTCCCAATCATTCCTCGCCTGGCCTGAGAAGGTAAGGGTGACGGTGGGGGATGGAGAAGCAGCCGGGGCAGAGACAGAGAGATACAGAGGGAGGGGAGGGGAAAGAGAGAGACATAGAGAGATACAGAGGGGGAGGGAGAGAGAGAGAGATATGTCAAAAGGGTTTTGTGGTTCCTGTTGTTTTTTAACAACTGGTTCTCTGCCCTAATGACTGGCTGGGTAGGCGTGGCTGGGGGGGTCATGTGACTGGTGAAAGTGAGTGACGTCGAGTTGGCCACGCCCACCGAGGTTTTGTGGCTCCCGGTGTTTTCTTTTCTGTGTGAAACGGGTCCAAATGGCTCTTTGAGTGCTTAAGGTTGCAGACCCCTGACCTAAGGACATAGAATTCTAAATTAAATTTGTGAAATTACAGCATTACATTCATTGATGCTGTTTTATCACTCACCAACCCTGCCAGGGTACGAATACTCTCTTTTCCGCTTCGGAAAATGGATTAAGAAATTGAGAACATGATTTAGTTTGAAGAATTAAATGCTTTTAATTAAAGCAATGATAGCTGAAAATATCTCTGCATCAACCATAGCGCGCTGAGTGCTACTTAGTGAAAATATTACAGACTCACCTTTATGTCAGCCAAATATTGAACATCAGGTTTCTCAGGAAATAACACTAATCCTCCTTCCTGTAACAATTCTTGGTCCTGCTCTGGAATACCAGTGTCTGCCTCGATCTTAACCTTTATGCTCTGCAAAGTCTCTCCCTCTGCTAGAGGGTAGACGTGAGTTGAACCCGTTACCATGTTTAGGATGTGAACCAGCTGGAAAAAAGAAATGCCCATAAAGCAACAGAAATGCAAATAAACAAAACGACAAAAATGTTGTGGCTAAAGGTTCTTTCTCTCTTCTTGTCAATTGCTTAACGCATTGTAAGCCGCCCTGAGTCTCCGGAGAAGGGCGGCATATAAATCAAATAAAAATAAAAAATAAAAATAAATTGAGTCTCATACTAAAGCAGGTAGTCCTTGATTTATGGCCACAATTGAGCCCAAAATGTACGTTGCTCAGCAAGACAGTTGTTAAGTGAATTTTGCCCCCATTTTATGACCTTTCTTGACACAATTGTTAAGTAAATCACTGCAGTTGTTAACATAGTAACAGGGTTGTTAACTGAATCTGGCTTCCTCATTGCCTCTGCTTGTCAAAGGGGGATCATGTGACTCTGGGACATTGCAACCGTCATAAATGTGAATCAGTTGCCAAGCACCTGAATTCTGATCACGTGACCATGAGGACGCTGCAATGGTCAGAAGTGTGAAATTTTCACTTTTTTTTCAGTGCTGTTTTAACTTTGACCGGTTACTAAATGAACTATTATAAGTTATGTGTAGTGTTAGACTAGAATTATATACATTAATATAGATAAATATGTATGTGAATTGTATAGATAGGTATATGTAGGTATAGATAATTGTATAGGAATAAGGTATAAATGATTAATATTATACTATGTTTAAATAACATATAATATGTAAGGAATATATTATTATATATCATTAATATATTATGTATTAACTTAGTGCTGGAAGATGCTTGAGACCAGTGATGTCATATCTATGTCCAATATTTTTAATTTTGAATTACTAATAAAAAAACTTTTTAAAAAAAGTTATGAACTACCTGTAATCACATCAATGATCAGGAAAATCAATAAATCCTTTTTTAAAAAAGCAAAACCGAAACCTGGCTCAATTAAATGAAAATAACACTTTCCTTGTTCTATTTTTTTTTATCTGTTTAACATGTTAAAATATATTTTGGCTACATATTCCAACTAACTATACTGTTTTAAGTCCTTAAACAGTATCTGACATTTTTAAATAAAAAAAATTCTCCTTTCCCGGTTTTAGATATTTGTGAACTATAATGTCCATAACCCCAGATTAAGGTCCTCTTTTAAATTTTGCAATCTAAACCACCTGGAAATCTTTATGTTATATAAAACTGCATTATATCCTATCAGTGCTCCACAATGTGTAATCCATCATTTCTACTTACGAAACAATATGCCAAATAGAATAGAATAGAATAGAATTCTTTATTGGCCAAGTGTGATTGGACACACAAGGAATTTGTCTGTGGTGCATATGCTCTCAGTGTACATAAGGAGAATAAATTACATTCATCGACACAACACTTAGTGATAGTCAAGAAAGTAGGATGACCAATAAAATACATTAGAATAGAATAGAATAACAGAGTTGGAAGGGACCTTGGAGGTCTTCTAGTCCAACCCCCTGCTTAGGCAGGAAACCCTACACCACTTCAGACAAATGGTTATCCAACCTCTTCTTAAAAACCTCCAGTGTTGGAGCATTCACAACTTCTGGAGTCAAGTTGTTCCACCGATTAATTGTTCTAACGGTCAGGAAATTTCTCCTTAGTTCTAAGTTGCTTCTCTCCTTGATGAGTTTCCACCCATTGCTTCTTATTCTACCCTCAGGTGCTTTGGAGAATAGTTTGACTCCCTCTTCTTTGTGGCAACCCCTGAGATATTGGAACACTGCTATCATATCACCCAGACTTCCAAAACTGCTCCAGTGTGTACTGTTATCACACACCTTCCTGAATGTCACTCTTCCTACTTCTTTCACCTGGACAGAACCTACCTTTACATTCAGAATATCATCCAAAGCCTTGAAACAGCCATTGGTGCCATATGTGGGATGAGTACCTCTTTGACGTGGGTGCCATTTCAGCATCAGCTGTAGCCATTTCTCCAGTCTATCAGCCAAAGCACTACGAATACAAGCACGAAATAGCAAAAGTGGGAAGGAAGATCACTACTGAAGGGGTTGAGGGGTAGGGGAACTGAACTGATTTCTTTGATCTTCATATAGCTCCTTACCTATTTAGATTGTTAGGATAGGGCAGTTTGTTAGAAAATTTCACTTCTCCAGACAAATCTTCAAAAACAACAATATCCAGCTCACTCTTCTGTCGGACTTTTGCATGCCTAAGAGAATAGAGGGAGGTCTGAATGTTAAGGGATTTCAGTCCAGCATAGGTTTGCTCCTTCAATAAAAGCTAAGAAATTTATTCTGTCAAAAAGCTTTTATGAACTTGAATCTATTCTGTCAGATGTCAACAACGTTCATCTCAATGGCTGTGTGCATGTTGCTAGTTTCTGGGCAACATCGACCGTATTTTTCGGAGTATATGACGCACCTACCTTTTTTTTGGTGAGGAAAAAAAGAAAAAGAAATCTGCCTCTGCCTCCCAGCAATTTTGCCTCCTTGCAGCAAACAGCCTGCTTTACTTTCATTTTCGTTTTCAGCATAGCTTGATTAGCACAAGAAAAAAAAAATCTGCTCCAGCAATTTACCTCCTTGCAGCAAGCAGCAGAGCCCTGCGCAAAACAGCTGAGAGCAAAACAGCTGAGAGTCGGGAGGCCGATCCAATCAACTTGTGCTAATTAGGCTGTGCTGAATCTGAAACGGGCTGTTGCTGCTTGCTGTAAGGTGGTAACTGCTGGGAGGCAGAGCCCAAAGGGTGGGGGCCAGTGGGTGGGCGGAGCTACATCCGGTGTATAAGATGCACCTAAATTTTCACCCCATTTTAGGGGGAAAAAAGGTGCGTCTTATACTCCGAAAACTACGGTATTTAAGTTGTAGCCAAAAGTGTTTTACGGGCCGTCGTAATTTAAAATGGCCGTTAAGCAACTGATCGTAAATCCAGGGCTACCTGTAATAGCTACTCCAAGTTACAAGATATGTCTGAATTACCATTGTACTGGTTGCCAGCTGGGAAGGAAAGGTCGGAAACCGGTTATGCACTCAAAAGCCAGTGTACCAAAGCTCCAGTAATCCACTGTCACCGTGTATTTCTGTTGTTCTAGCAGCTCTGGAGCCTAGAAAAATAAGAAGACAAAGCTGGCTACCAATGCGATCCCATACTTGTCTACACAGAAATCAGAATCAAGGATTCGAATAGGACTTATTTTCAATTAGGGTGCATTCATCTATATGGATCTTCTTTAAAAGGGAAAACTCTTGAGACCATCACTTCCTTCCCCTTCCCCTACAAAGTCCGAGCCTTATAAGAACAATGGATAGGTGAGAACTCACAAAAAGGAAATAATTTTTGACGCATCAGTCACGGAATTTACTACTATAAACTAGAGTGATATTTATTACATTAGAATGAATTGGAAAAAACGATAAATCTATAGAGGAAGAGAAGGTGGAGTTGGGAGAGCTCCGTTCATTTTATTACCTATAAGAGACAAATAAAACTACTACAGATCATACAGTACTGTATACAGTGATAAATTAGACTCGTCTCTTGTCAGGAAGATGAACATTTACGTGTTATAACTGAGATCAGTGCTGAAATCCAAATTTTTTTACTACCAGTTCTGTGGGCGTGGCTTGGTGGGTGTGGTGTGGCTTGGTGGGCATGGTAGGGGAAGGAGACTGCAAAATCTCCATTCCCACCCCACTCTGGGGCCAGCCAGAGGTGGTATTTGCCGGTTCTCCGAACTACTCAAAATTTCTGCTATCGGTTCTCCAGAACCTGTCAGAACCTGCAGGATTTCACTCGACTGAGATGCTTTCCCACAATATCATCCTGACAATTTGTTCATCTCAATATGCTTCTTATGTTCTTCAGGGCAGTGTGATGGCTCAGCAGTTAAGCCGTTGGGCTCATCGGCTGGAAAGCCTGCAGCCCAGATTTGAGTCCCGAGTGCCACATGACAGGGTGAGCTCCTCCCATCCTCACTCCAGCTCCTGTCAACCTAGCAGTTCAAAAGCATGCAAATGCAAGTAGATAAATAGGTACCAACAGTGCTCCATGACCTCATACTGGCCATGTGACCGGGGAAACATCTTTGGACAGCTCTAGCTCAATGGTCTTGAAATGGGGATGAGCAGCGCCCCCTACAGACGGTAACTGAGCAAAATCCGCAGGGACTCCTTTACCTTTAGCAATAGCACTTAGGACTTATATACTGCTTCACGGTGCTTTACAACCCTCTCTAAGAGGTTAACAGAGTCAGCCTATCGCCCCCAAGTATCAGGGTCCTCATTTGACCGACCTCGGATGGATGGAAGGCTGAGTCAACCTTGAGCTGAACTCCTGGCAATCAGCCGAAGTAGCCTGCAGTACCGCGTTGTAACCACTGCGCCACCACGGCTCTTTTACCTTATGTTCTTAATATGTGAAATCTCATTGTACAATTATTTACTCTAAAAGAATGCTTACCAGATATTGCAAAGTCCCAACGAAGGATGTGCAAAGACTGCCTTGATCCAGTTCTTTGGCATAGCCCAAGTCAATGATCTTATGTATTAACTAAAGAAAAGCACAATGATGACATATGTGAACATGCTAAGAATGCTGGGAGTCAGAGATGCAATTTATTGTCTTGGTTTCACTCCACCCAGACAATAATTAATTACACCTCTAGATTATTATTTAACATGTTGTGTAAAATCGGCTAATGTGATTGGTAAACCATGTTTTATAGTTCAGAATAGACACAGACTATTGTAGATCATTCAATAAATTAGAATCAATATCTTGTATAAATACAACTGTATTTTACTGTAAACTCTTAATGGGAAGTGGTGTATCAATTATTTAAAACAATCATTCCCTGGAAAGATACAATTAAATGCCTCTGGCAAGATCACAGATTCGTCTAAAATCCTAACTCTTTCCTGCTACAGGAGAATGGGAGAAACGGACACACAGAAGTGATGCATGGCTGAATTTGGAAAAAAGATCCACAAAAAAACAGCGTGCCTACTAAAGCTGAAAAGCAAGCTCTCCATCCAGTGTCTCTTGTACAAAAGACTTTCTGTTGCAGTACCTCACTGCATCTTGTATCTTTTCTTTTATGTACACCAAGAGCATATGCGCCAAGACTAATTCCTTGTGTGTCCAATCACACTTGGCCAATAAAGAATTCTATTCTATTCTATTCTCACCATACAGCACTATGCAGAATTCAAAACCCAGTGTGCTCCTAAGCCCTTTGTACACTACTCAAAGATAGCAACCCTGAAAGTATTATTTAGGCCATCCAGAAATGCCTTCAACTCCCAAATTCCCCAGCCAGCAACCCTGACTGGGGAATTTTGGGAGTTAAAGTACACATATCTTAAAACTCGTTTGAGGGTGAGGAGCCGTGAATTAGTTATGTAAGCAAGCGACTCTATTTCCGTCTTCTTTTTGACTAAATATGACAGATCAATCTCTGAGAGTGAATGAAAGCTATCCCCAGCCTTCTCCCAAACAGAAAAATGTTTAACCTCCTGCACTTTATGAGGAATGAGGAAACGTACCCGAGGAATCCTACTCACCCTCTCTTCACCTTGTTGCAAAACTATGTTCTCTGGTTTCAGGTCTCGGTGAATGATTCTGTTCTCGTGAAGGTATCGCAGGGCTGAAGCTAATGTTGAAGGGAAAAAAAACACAATCAACCAACTCCGTCATGTTAAACAAACACTCCACTGCGTTTTCCAACGAACTGAAACGGGTTCAAAAAGGGTCAGTGAGGTTGGTCAGAGGAACGAAAGCTATGCCTTACGTAGAGAAACTGGAGAATCTGGGTATGCTTAGGTTTTGAGGAAAGATGGCTTTGGAGAAGCATGATTCACTGGGCCCAGAGGCTTAGATTTCCCAGGACAAATCATGCATTGCAAAGATCACTTGGAAGAGGCAGATACTTCCAATGTAATCTACCGGATCCCCTGCGTGGATCGCCCCTGGGACTATGTAGGACAGACAAAGGACACAAGTGAGAGCCAGACGAGGAGAGCCAAACTCATTTGGTAGCCTCACATTGCAACGAACAAGGACACAAATTCAATTTTGCAGCTACTAAGATTGTTGGCCGAGCAGGGACAAAAATAGCCAGAGAAATGATTGACGCTTGAGAAATGGGCCCCTTGTCAATCAACAGGAGGGCTGATTTACCACCAGCTTGTCAGGTACTTAGGAGCCGAGGGCTTGGCAGCACAAGGATACAACAGTCACTAGCCAGCCATCAACACACTAATCAACCAATAGGAAGTCACACTCAACCAGGGACCACGTAAATGCATAGAACAGCCCAAAGCACACATTCCGGTAGAGAGAAGTTCTCTGAGGATGGGCTCCAGCACGAGTCCTAGAGTTCGTAAGACAAAACCTCTGGTCCCAGTGAGTGACCCAGATTGGGTCTTGCAACATTATCCTGGGACACGTATATATTTGCCTTCGTTCTTAAGCATGATCCCACTGCGAGCTTGGATCCTAATAAACTGAAAAGGAGGGACAAAAAAACAGATTTCAAGTTTGCTAAACTGACTGTGCTGAACCGACAGCATAAAAGCAGTTGTAATAAATGCAGTGCTCTTTAATGCATGTGGTTGCTTCCATAGGCCCGTCTGGCAGGCCTTTACTGGAATACGGCCAAACGTGGAACTGTTTCAGCCCCGCTCTGCTATCCTTTAAATTCAAAATTCAGAATAGAGCTGGGAGGGACCTTGGAGGTCTTCTAGTCAAACCCCCTGCTCAAGCAGGAAACCCTATGCCATTTCAGACAAGTGGCTGTCCAGTGACCTCCAAAAAAAAACCAAAACATCCCCCACAAAAAATCCTCCTCCTCAACTTCTGGTGGCAAGCTGTTCCACTGGTTAATTGTTTACACTGTTAGGAAGTTTCTCCTCAATTCCAGGTTTGCTTCTCTCCTTGGATAGGTTCTACTTCTTGGGATTCCATACCTTTAGATTTGGCCCACAGTATCCGATACTTACCGATATCTGATAATAAAATGAGAATTTCTTTCTCACGCAGGCCACAGCAATTCTCAAACTGGTTCAGATGCTACGGAAAAAGGAGAAAGTAGTTTATCTTTGTGCGAGTTTTGCATTTTACAGGGTAGCCAAATAATTTTGTTTTATTTTCCATGAATCTATCACTTAACAGTAGTTCTACAAGGGGAGAGACTGTCAGCTAACCAATAACACTGCCAGCACTGACTTTCAGAGCTATATCAAGTCTAAATGTCTGTAGAGATTCTCAATCGTCCAGGCCATGGTGGTCCCAAAGGTGCTTTAAAATGCAGTTGCCTTTTGGAAAAGCACCTGTTCTTTGGGTAATATACCAGGCCTAGCAGTACAGCTCTTCTACACTGAACAGATTTTTTTTTTTTAAATTTGATTTATATGCTGCCCTTCTCCGGAGACTCAGGGCGGCTTACAATGTGCTCAGCAATAGCCTTCATCCTTTTGTATATTTATACAAAATCAGCTTATTGCCCCCACAAACTGGGTCCTCAATTTACCTACCTTAGAAAGGATGGAAGGCTGAGTCCACCTTGAGCCTTGGCGAGATTCGAACCTGCAGTAATTGCAGGCAGCTGGTCTTAATAACCAGCTTAATAACAGGGTGCCTTAGACCACTGTACTACCAAGGCTCTTGTACCACCAAGATTCTCAAAGCAGGACATATTTGTGGTCTTCTATACCTAAAATCATATATATCTTAAAGGTAAAATAAGTATTGGATCCCAGAGAAGAATGGGGTAGAACAGACTTTACAAAACAGCATTCTAGAGGGGGAAGAGATTTTGATGTCATCAGTTTAGCCGTTAGGAATGTGTACGGAACTGCGATGACACAAAAGGACATCCCTGACTTACAACCCCAATTGGGACTGAGACTTCCGTCGCTAAGGGGTGAGTTCATTAAGTGAGCCGCGCCTGATTTTATGACCCCCCCCCCTTTTTTTTTTGGCCATGGTTGTTAATTGTGCAAATCGTGTGGTTGTTACGCAAAACTGGCTTCCCCCATTGACTACGTTTATCAGGAGCTTGGCTGGGAAGGTTGCAAATGGCAGTCACATGATCCCAGCAAAGAACTAAGATCAAGGCACGAAGGAGAGTGAACGAAGTTGTTCCCTGCAAATTGCTTCAGTCAGCGTTCTTCCTTAAATAGGCTAAGGGAGTGGCCAATTAGCCCCAAGCCTTACTCTCGAGGAGACCTCCTCCTGAGGAGCAACTCCTGTCTTTTGGCAGCTCTGCGCGCCCGTGCATCGAGAAGAGGCTCCTCCTCTTCGTCCTCTTCATTTAAGGGAGCTTCTGGAGGTTCTGAAGGCCCTGGCTGAATCCCTGCCTCTGGCACCACATCTTCTCCAGCCTCCTCATTGTCTGACTCGAATGCCAGCTGCACAGGCTGCTGGCGCAGCACCACACCAGCCTCCTCGCTGTCCGAATCAGCCACCAGCTGATGTGTATGGGCCACAACAGCGGGATGCAGGGAACATGCAAAACCACAACCCCTTTGGTCCACGGAAAAACCTCTCTCCATGGAACCAGTCCCTGGTGCCCCAAAAGTTGTGGGTCGCTGCCATAACAGAAGCCACGTTTTATAACAATTGAAGTTTAGTTCTCTTTAATGAAGCAAATATGGATTTCTCTTATTTGACAACTGGAAATCCTATTCCATAACACTTTCCACAACCCTCCTTAGAAAAGGAGGAAATTAAAAAAACAACAACAGAAAACGTTCGTCACACTTTAATCTCTGGACATTATGTTTTTCAGATTAGAATATTATCTATTATAAAGGGCTTATTGTCATTTTTTTTTCCTATAAGGGAACAGGATGAATAAAAGTCTCCACCGGAAAAGCTGCAAGGATTGATTCACTGGTCAGAAAGCTGAATCTTCCAAGTTTCTGAGAGATGAGATAAAATGCTGAAACATTTTACATTTCTCACAGTATTTATTTTCCACTTCAGAGGGGGCGTAAAATGGTCTGGCACAATTAATCTACCAACCTACTGGAATACAGCCAACTGGTACCAACATGAGATATACTGAATTCATTTACAGTTGGGGAGGAACGTTGTAACTGACCTACTGCACACTATTGCCAGATTATTGGTCTAAATCAGGGGTCTGCAACCTTAAACACTCAAAGAGCCATTTGGACCCGTTTCCCACAGAAAAGAAAACACCGGGAGCCACAAAACCCTTCCCGTGCCTGACTATTTCTTGAGCAGCCACAGAACTAGCCTATGTAGTTGAATTAAACGTTCTGAAACTTTTCTTTTCTTGGATTTATCCATGGTTGGCCTACTGGGGGTTGAAAAGCTCAATAAATTGCACGCCGGCGGGTGTCGCACATTGGCGGTTGTGACGCATATTGTGAGTGACAGGGAGCCGCAGCAGAGGGGTGAAAGAGCCACATGCGGCTCCAGAGCCACAGGTTGCTGACCCCTGGTATTTATTTATTTATTTATTTATTTATTTATTTATTTTATTTCTATACCGCCTTTCTCCCGTAGGACTCAAGGCGGTGTACAGTCAAGAAAAATATAGATGCACAAACATCTATAAATGCTGGCACACCTAATGATATTCCAGTTCTGACTCCTGACAGACAAATAGAGATGTTTCCCCCCCACCCAGAATCTCATTCTTCATTTGCTGCCCCCAGCCTTTGATGTTCTTTCACTCATGTCTGCCTATTGCAACCACTTGGCCAGAATACTAAACTAACGAAGTAGGAAGGGGCCTTGGAGGTCTTCTAGTCCAACCTCCTGCTCAAGCAGGAAACCCTGTATCAATGGTTCCCAACCTATGGTCCGTGGAATTCTGCGGGGCCACGATGTTGACACAGTGGGTCTGTGAAGGCTTGAAGAAATTTTATTTATTTATTTATTTATTATTTATTTATTGGTTCAATTTATATGCCGCCCTTCTCCGGAGACTCAGGGCGGCTTACAATGCGTTAAGCAACAGCCTTAATACTTTTGTATATACCTGCTTAGTAGGGCTTTTGGCCCCCCCTAAGCAGTGTTCTTTTTTATACAAAGTCAGATTATTGGCCCCACAATCCGGGTCCTCATTTTACCTACCTCGGAAGGATGGAAGGCTGAGTCAACCTTGAGCCTGGTGAGTATTTTCATTTCTTTCTGACATGCGACAACATAGGTGGCAAAAGACTCACCCTTCTAAGATCTCCTCCTTGGCAATATTCCATAGCCAGCAAGGGCAAGTCATTGGGTGCAACATTTTGCATCCCTTCCGGAACATCCCGGGCAGCCACCACATTGGGGTGATTTAGACTATGAGAAATAAAAGGACACGTAGAGAATACACAAAAGCTTGGGAAAACGTGACACTCAGCTTTAAAGCAAAGGCTTTATTGAATGCTGGTAGGTTAAGTGGCTAACACAGAATACTTAGATGCTGTAACTTTGCAAAGGATTCTGGGACACATTCAAGAGCATGCTTTTTCTCATTTTAATCCTCTGTTCACATCATTAGCCTAGGCAAGCAGCACTCTTGTTCCAAATCCTTTCTGTTATCACGCAGATTAAAGAGAATATTTGGGTGGAGTCTGGACAACTGAATGGAACTAGCAAAGTGTTTTGATGGCCGGATGCCCTTCCTGTCACCAATGCGGAGTTTTGTTCAGCAGATATATTCTCAGTGTGTCCAGAGAGAGAAATATCTGCCTCTACCTAGGATCAAACTCACAGCCTCCTGATTGTGAGGCTAGAGCTCCACCTCTAGGCCATCGCACCACTCTGCACATCATAAATTGCAAGATTAAAATAATTTAAACTGAATTACCAAAAACAAATACTACCCTGTTTCTCCCAAAATAAGATATCCCCTGATAATAAGCCTAATCGGGCTTTTGAATGCATGGTAATAAGACCAAGCGCTTATTTCAGGGTTCAAAGAAATATAAGACAGGGTTTTATTTTCGGGGAAACACGGTATTTATACAGAAATACATGTAATGGTATATCCATTAAAGATATCATCATTTTGAAAAAGGAATACTGCAGAATTAGTTATTAAATTCCACCACACAATAAGCAGCAAGACTTCACGCTGTACTTTAGGCACAATCTAAAGATAAATAGCCAAAAAAAAAAGAAAAGAAAAAGATTTTCAAAGACAAGCATGAAGAAACCTAACTTCAAACAGACTGATATTCAGGCAACCCTCTAATCACTTTTTCAATATATAAAAATTGGAATTTACTTCAGAACACTTGGAATGACGCTGTATTTCTTTCTGACATATGATTAATTTCCTGACCTACGGAATATTCTGTTTTGTTTTGGTACACCCTTAAGCGTTCCGATGATCCTGAGCTCGCTTGTTATTTTATGATCATCCAGGATTCATATTGCCAGCTCAGAATGTTTTCCTGTTTAACGACACCTGCGTATATTTAATGCTTTACAGATATCTCAAAAGGTTAGATTTTAAGACAAGATAAGTAATTCTTTTTCAAGTGACGTACAAGGATGCTCCAGACTTTGGATCATATTAGCTGTGCCATCTGGTATTAGACATGTCTAAATAAATACTTATGCAACAGGATTATAACCTTCATGATAACTGCTAAATCAAATGTCTATTTCTCACAATGTCTGTGGAAAGTCGTGTTTTACAGTATTACTCACCGTTTCATGATCTGTATTTCCAAACACCATCTTTCTCTGTTACGGAGGCTCAGCTCCTGACGACACTGTTTGATTGCAATTTGCTCTCCAGTTTCCTATAAAAAAGAGGATTTTTTAAAAAAAATCTTTCTCCAACAATGCAAATACAACGTGAAGACATTTAAATTCTCAGGAACTGTTACAGGAGTGTTAAGATGGCTTTATACTTCATGTAAGTCATGGTATGTTTTAGTCATGGTTTATCTTTGAAACGGGCCACTGTATAAATTTGATAAATATTAAGTAAGTTACAGTGGTCGGTTTACACAGAAACCTTAGTTAATATATCACAGTATCAAATCCCTATAAGCTACTTTATGGCTTAGCATGATGAATGAACTCTGCCAGTGTGCTAGAGGGAGATCAACAGATCTCGTTAAATCTGAGGAAATCACAATTGATAATTACTTTGATATTTCATATTAAGGAAGTTTCTCCTTAATTCCAGGTTGCTTCTCTCTTTGATTAGTTTCTAACCATTATTTCTTGTCCTGTCCTCTGGTGCTTTGGAGAACAATTTGACCCCCTCTTCTTTGTGGCAGCCTCTCAAATACTGGTCCTCTTCTCCCTACCATCTTTCACTAGAGAGCCTCTTTTTAGGATCTGTGGCGATCCAGGAGACAGGCCCTTTTCCCCACCAATCTGTCATTAGCAGAGAAATGGATCCTTTGGGAGGTAAAACCACACACTCCTTTCTTGCTGAAATCCCCAGATCCACCCCTGCTGTCAGCCTGGTAATTCTCACGTTGCCCTGCATAGAACAGAGGAACACAATTTCAGTGTGCTTTCTCCCATCTGACTACTGAGGATGGTTGTCAACCACCCTATTGGAAGAGGATGATAGAATTGTAGTGAATACCTCTGAAAAATGCCAAGTTTTTGCAAGCAGAATCCATGCAACATGTGACTTGGCCAAGTTCTCTTTTGTCCATTACCCCTTTTCTCTTGCTTTAGACTTCACTTTCCCTTTCTCTCTTCCTGAATGAAAGTTTTCATGGGCTTGAGGTTATATCAAGTGTATGAAAAAAACAAACATCAAAGATAACATTTCACACAATATGAGGTTTCTGGTTCCTGCAAGCTTCGATTTGTTTTCCTGGAAGAGCAATACGTTCAGGGTTTTCCACTGGTTTTGTGAAATCTAATCTTGGATCTAGATTATTAATCTAGATTAATGCATAGAATCCATATCCTTCTAAAAGTGTATTATGTGCCCTAATTGGAAAGGGAGCATAAATTTGTGAAGTGAAGAAAATAAAAGCATGACTTAGCAACTACACTAAGGACGGAATCTCCACAAAATACTTCTGGATGAGGTTCTTATAATGCTGATCATCTAAGCACTTTTTTATGGCAACCTAGACCACGTTGCAAATTATTCACGGATTCTTGAATGCCAATTGCACAAGCAATGTCATTAAAAAACTTGTATTTGGTCAAAACCGTAGATTTTAATCTCCTATTAAATCATGGAGCTGATGGCCATGTCCATCACACAAAATTCCCAACTTGAGGTTCAATTCCTTAGAACAGGACATGCAGCTTCATTCAAATCAGGGCTTCTCAAGCATGATATGTCTACTACAGGTGGAGCTCAGAAATCACTTTGGTGGGACATGAAAAAGTCCTTGAGAAGTTAAGTCACATCATCAAAAATAACTACTCCTAACCCAATAATTGTTGGGGTTATGTTATCTTAGATAGTTGATTTTTTTTTAAAAAAGTGTTTTATATTTAGGCTTGTTATTTGTAAGCCACTTGGGAGTTTTGGAAGAAGAGTAGCGATCCAAAATAGGTAATAAGAAAGAAATGCTCAAAACCAAAACTCATGGATGCCCTCCACACTTTCTGAAATTGATTTTTGAAATACATTTTAATTGTACAATGACTTCTTAGCTGTTCTGACGGTTCAGAAATGAAATGCCCTATGGACTGACAAAGAACATTACAAGCCAAGCCCAAAAGCTAGCTAGGAAAAGCTCAAAGCCAAAACCTTTGACACCTACTGTTATTTACTCTTTTATATTTCAATGTTATTGTTTGTTAACTCTGAACCTCTGCTCTGGAGGTTCAGAAATAGAGCACCACGTAGACAAAGAAAGGAAGCTAAAATTAAATAAACTAGAACACACCAAAAAAGCTAGGAAAAGCTCAAAGCCAAACCCACTGATGCCCTTTGCTCCTTCTGTATCTGATTCTTTTATATTTGCGGAGTCCTTGCTGATTTGTTTGCTTGCAAACATTTTGTTACCAGACTAGGTAACATTTTCTTTGCTCTGTTTATATACAGTAGCTTGTCCAGCCAGTGTTGGTGGGGACGTTTTTTTCTCCTTCATAGTTCCTCGATTATGCTGTTGTTTACTGCTTGATTGTCTGAGTTGATAGTTGTTTTATTAGGATACTCTTTATTACTTTTGTCAAGTGTTAATCCCTTCTTATCTGGGTGTTGATTGCTGGCAGGAAGGTGCTCTCATCTTTTTATTTCCTTTTTAGCTTTTTTTATTGCCTCTTTTGAATGGTGTATAAATGTTTATCTCTATGGGCCTGATGATGGCTGATCTGTCTGAGCACCAGGCTTACAGGAATTCCCTAGCATTTTTCAATTTAGCTTGGTTTAGGATGCCTCCAGTTTGCCAGCTGAAACTATCTTTAAGTCTGTCCCTTGTGAAGTTAAGAGTTTTTAAATCTGTCTTTTGACTGCTAGTTTGCATTCATGGATGTGCTCTGCTAATCTTCCTGTCTGCCCAACATAGTGGTTGTTACAGTCCTTACATTTCATATTGTGACTCTAATTTTTATTTCTGGAGGGGTTTCTTTTAATTTACTTTGGTTGGTTTTGGTGCCAAGGTGATGCTATACAGCTGTAATGGTCTTATTTCTGAGATGTTTTTGATATGTACTTTTTCATAGTTTGTATTGTCTGTGCTGTAGTGGGTTCAGTTGTCAGGCATTTTTTGCTAAAGTTGCATGGATGTTTTGTTGAAATATAATGTATAGGCAATCTATTTCCTTTTTCTGATATTCTGGATTGCCGCAATGCATTTGTGCTTGTTTGAATAATCTTACACAGCTCTTGCAAGAAGTTGGGTTGTTACTTCGATAAGAGAAACAATGTGTTCGTTAGCTGGTGTAATTTTTCAATAGACTTGTGTTTCTAATTTCTGCCATGCCCTCTGCTCACTTTCACTTTCTCTTCCACTTCCCCCTATATTTCCATTTTCTGTTTATTATTTGTAAGATCCTCAGTGTCTTTGGAAAATGGGCAACCTATTTATTAGTTTAACTAACAATGCCGAACTTCAGAGTGAAGGAAGAGAGAAGGTTTTGGGGTCCTGAGCTACAAATATTCTCTTCTATCGAGAGAGGAAGTTGTACATAAATCAGCCAGAAAAGAAAGTACTGCAGGAAAGGCTGCTTGAAAACAAAACCACAAAGGGCCTCAGATCTGTAAAGCTACTTTTATATGTCATATATATCACATTATATATAATATAAATACTCTCTCTGTCTCTGCCTGTTTTTCTATATATAGAGGGGGGAGAGCTGATAGATGGATGAGGAATAGATAGATAGGTTGACAGGTTCTATTCTATAAATAGAATAGAATAGAATAGAATAGAATAGAATAGAATAGAATAGAATAGTAAATATAGAATGGAATGGAATTAGAATGGAATGGAATTAGAATAGGATAGGATAGGATAGGATAGGATAGGATAGGATAGGATAGAATTCTTTATTGGCCAAGTGTGATTGGACACACGAGGAATTTGTCTTCAGTGCATAAGCTCTCACTGTACATAAAAACACAAGATATATTCATCAAGAATAATAAGGTACAACAATTAATGATAGTCGTAGGGTACAAATAAGCAAATAGATAATAGATATACATAATACAAGATGGATGGAGATGAGAGAGATAGATAGATAGATAGATAGATAGATCAATAGATATAGATGGATGGATAGATAGATGATATAGATAGATTAATAGATATAGATGGATGGATGGATGGATGGATGGAGATAGATAGATAGATAGATAGATAGATAGATAGATAGATAGATAGATAGAAAATAGATGATGGATAGATAAGATTGATAGATGATTGATAGAGATAGAGATGATAGATAAGAGATGATACAGATAAGATATATATAGATAGATAAGATGATAGATAAGATAGATGAGACAGACAGACAGATAGCTCTCTCTCTCTCTCACACACACACAGATTTTTTAATTCTATTTTGATCTGGCTGATTTTTAAAAGAGTTTTATTTCCTCAGAGGCAGAGGAAACCCCAGATCCTCAAGAAAGAAAGAGGAAGGAAAAAAGAAAAAAAGCTGGGAAAGGCAGGACCCCCCCCCCAACCCAACCCAAAGCCCCCTCTCTGCCTCCTTCTCTCCTTTTGGGGGGCGGGAAAAGAGGGGCGGGGGAGGAGCCGCGGGCAAAAGCCTCCCCTCTCCTCCTCCCGCTCCCCCCCTCTCCCGGCCTTTTTTCCCGCCAATTCCTGTCAGGCGCGCGCCAGGCCCACCCCCCCCCCCCCCCCCCCCTTCCCCGGCCTTTTTTTTTTCCCGCCAATTCCTGTCAGGCCCGCTCACCTTGTGCTGCCAGCGGAGGACGTTGCCGAAACCGCCGGTGCCCAGCCGCTCGCGCATCTCCCACGGGCCGCAGCTGCTCAGGGGCTGCAGAGGGGCCGGCGGCGTGGGAGAGGGCGAAGGCGAGGACGAGGGTGGCGGCGGTAGCGGCATGGCTGGGCCGGGGAAGGCCGGCGACAGCAGCCTGAGGTTGAGGTCGTGGCCGCCTCAGCAGCAGCCTACGCTAGGCCCGGCAGCGGCCACTTCCGCGTCGTGAGGAGAAAAGAGGGCGGCGGCGGAGGCCTGGAGGCCGGGTCTTAAAGGAGCAGCTCCGGAGGAGGCGGAGAGGCCGCCGAGCTGAGGCCCGGCGTCGGGGTCGCGCTACCGATGAGGGAAGGCCCCGATGAGGAGGCTCCGGGCTGCAGTGCCCTGGCCGGCCGCTAGAGGGCGGCGAAGAGCAAAAGTTCTTCAGAGGCTGGTCTGCCCCCTCTTGGCCGCCCGAGGCATTGCAGAGCTACCTGTCGGCCTCCCCCTCAGAGTATACTCCGCAATACAACTAGTCCTTGACTTACAGCAGTTCCATTTAGAGACCGTTCAAAGTGGCAATGGCAACCGGGGAAAAAAGTGGCCGACCTCCGGTTTTTTCTCACACTTAACGGCCTTTGCAGCATCCCCTTAATCATGCCATCAAAAATTCAGACGCTTGGCAACTTGATTCATATTTATGACGGTCGCAGCCTTCCAGGGTCACGCGATCCCTTTTTGCGACTTTCCTTTGCGGGCAAAGTCAATGGGGAAGCCGGATTCGCTGAACGACCGCGTTAAAACATAGCAGTGCTTCATTTTAACTGTGGTAAGAAAGGTCCTAGAATAGAATAGAATAGAATAGAATAGAATAGAATACGGAACGGAACAGAATTCTTTATTGGTCAAGTGTGATTGGACATACAAGGAATTTGTCTGGTGCATAGGCTCTCAGTGTACATAAAAGAAAAGATACATTCATCAAGAATCATAAGGTACAACATTTAATGATAGTCATAGGGAACAAATAAGCAATCAAATCATATTAGGAAACAATATAAATCGTAAGAATAGAATAGAATAGAATTTTTTATTGGCCAAGTGTGATTGGACACACAAGGAATTTAGCTTGGTGCATGGGGCAAAATGGGGCAAAACTCACTTGACGCATGTCTCACTTAACAATACCCACTTAGAATAATTTTATTGCCACCTTGAATGTACACTAATCGGTATACATTAAAATGAAATTTCGCAGCTCTCAAAAGGTCGCCACCTCCAATATGCACTAATCCAATCATTCCTAGTAATATTGTAAGTGAAAGCTAAGCAAAACATATAATGGCTAAGCAGAATGTGTGATCCAACTTCCTTCTGATCTAGTCCTCACATCTGAGAGACGTAGATGTAGTTTTAAATAATCACATCTATGTTACCTATTGCTTGATAAAAGCAAATAAAAATACACTTTTGTATTCATGTTCTGAAACTTGTCCATTATTCTGCCTTGTTTAGCAAATCTGTGTTGCCTTGCGCTTCTTCAGCAGTTGTAACCCACTGACTTCCCATGGATTTGGAAAATGTGCAAAACAGCTCAGAAGTTCTCCTTCAGTTAATTGCAGATTATTCCAAAAGACTGAGATAATTTGGAATTTTTTAAGAATGTGATTTGTGCACATTTACAAAATGGCTGCCCTAGTGGCATAATCAACAATGAAACATCAATTTACCACAAGAAATCGTAGTTCCCTGCCCAGCTTCCCAGTTTGTTTTCAGTTGCTACAAATATAACTTTATTCATCATGGAACTGAGGTATATATTTCCAAGGGATAAAAATTCCCTAATAAAAATAAATGCCCTCACGTCTTATGGGTTTAATATTCACACACTGGATTTTCCACTGTAAACCATTATCAATGCCCAGAGAAAATGACAAATTTCCTTCAGCCCCTCCCATGACTACACTGTAGTGTATTTTTTCCTGTTACAGCTAATAACGGCTAATTCAAGTGGTTTCTGTGCTCTTAAAATGGTTGGATGAGGCAAATATATCTGATTTTAGCTTGTAAATAGTCCATAATCAATTGCACTGTGCATATCACAATGAGGGATTATCATGGTGTAGTCCTTTTATGACAGCTCCAATTACAGAAGCTGTAGGGATACTGGATATCTCTCTAGCTCTGAGATGATAATTTTAGAACACATACTAATTATGGCTTTGTGATCTGTACTGACATTATAACTCGCTGCTTTTCATTTACCAAATACTGTTGGCAATCAGTATATCACCAATTGTCAGAGTCTTTTATCTTTTGTGGTAGCCCTCTGAACTATAGTTTGGAGAAGGCTTTAGAGAAATCCAAAATGGCTAAAACTGAGCATGGCATGAGGGCTTCATTAAGAATCTTGTAGACCCCACAATAAGTGTCGCAATTTCCTTTTCCCTCAACTTGTGTTACCTGAAGTCGTTTTGTGAAGTCATTTTAAGACTGGAAAGGGCTACATATTTTTGAAAAGTGCTAAGAAGTGAGCAATGTTTTGGATATGGCCACTTTGTCGTTCTCTTATGTAGGAGCAGTAATGCTGGATCACTATCATAACAATAGTTGCAGGATGGAGGGAAACTTCCTCTCTAATTTTTGGCTTCAGAAGTGATTGCATAACCCATCTATTAAATTATCTGAAATTTCCACATGACACCTTTGAGATTCAGTCTCAAGTTTCTACATATTGATGTCAGTGTCAATATGTCAGATGATTTCAAAACACTGGATAAATCTATGGAAGTTAAGTCAGTCAAGAACAAACACTTACAGGCCTATGCAGCCACCTGTGCAAGATCTAAGGTAGAGCCATTTTTGCAGGATTACACAGTTGTGGTTCTCAAATCCTGCTGTACTGCCTTATCTTGGCAGAGTGTTGTTACTGGGAGGGACAAGCAAAGAACATTGGGAATGTTACCAAGAGGATATAATCCCAGCTGAGTCACCAGAGCAAGAGAAGGTTACTTCAGCTGTCCATCTAAACTAAAGAAGCAGGCACCTACGTTGGGTAGCAGTCACATAGAAATATTCTGGAGGTGGGTGATTACTTGGGTGACAAAGCTATGGGCACCATTCCATATTGTGCAGAAGAAGGCAATGGTAAGGTATTCTTGCATTTTACGAAGAAAATCTTATTGAAAACAGTGAAAAATTAAATGACTCAACCATGCATTGGCATCTTTGGTGTCAGCAAACTGAAATGACAGGAATTGGACATTTTTCAGTTGGAATATCATACTATTTATTACCAAGATACCTTAGAAGTTAATCCCTGCCTACAAGAACCTCTGTTACTAGAAAATGAAACTAGGTCATTACCAAGTCCAAAGGGTATGAAAATTGATGGAATATCTATAGAAATACTGTTAACCTAAAAGAAAAAGAATCTATGAAGGTTCTAATGAAGCTGTGCCAGCAAATCTAGAGAGCAACACAGTGCCCAACAGATTGGAAGAGATCATTCTACAATATTTTGGACATATTTGATACTTTTCCATAGTTCAATTGTAACAGACATGGGATAAGCAATACATTGTAGCATCTGTTGTGTTTAGAATGCATACTTTTAAGATAGAACATAGAATAAAAGAATTGGAAGGGAATTCTGAAGTCTTCTAGTCCAATCCCCTGCTTGAGCAGGAGACCTATATCATTTCAGACAAATGATTGTCCAGTCTCGTTTTGAAAGTCTGCACTCACCACTTCTGAAGGCAAGCTGTTCCATTGATTGATTGCTCTCACGATTAGGAATTTTCTCCTTAGTTCTAGGTTGCTTCTGTCCTTGGTTAGTTTCCATCAATTATTTCTTGTTTTGCCTTTTGGTGCTTTGGAAAGTAGTTTGACCCTGTAATCTTTGTAGGAGCCCTTCAAATATTAGAACAGTTCTATCATGTCTCCCCTAGTCCTTATTTTCATTAGACTAGACATACCTAATTCCTATAACTGTACTTCGTATGTTTTAGCCTCCAGCCCCCTAATCATTTTTTTTGCTCTTTTCTGTACTCTTTCCAGAGTCTCAACCTCTTTTTATATTGTGGTGACCATAACTGGATGCAGTTCCAAGTGTGGCCGTACTAAGGCTTTGTAAAGCGGTACTAGAACTTTACATGATCTTGATTTTATCTCTCTATTAATGCAGTTTAGGATTGCATTGGCTTTTTTTGCTGCTGCCACACACTATTGGCTCATATTTAAGCGATTTTCCACTAGTAATCCAAAATCCCTCTCACAGTTACTAGCGTTAGGACAAGTTTCACATGGTCTATAACTATATAGTTGGTTTTTCTTGCCTAAGTGTAAAACTTTACTTTTATCTATGTTGAATTTCATTGTGTTAGACAGGGCCCAGTGTTCAAGTCTGTTAAGATCTTTTTGGATCTTGACAAACTTAATTCATAGTTCATAGATTATGAACTATGGCACATGTTTTAGTGACCAATAACATTTCAATCGAAAGCTCAGTTGTTTCACCTAGCTTTTTGCCTTTGAACAAGCATTGTGTAGAAATATTACTCCTTTTATTTCTGAACCCAGAGGGGAAAAATGGGAGAGGTGGAGAGAGTGAGAGCATTTATTTGCTCTACTATGAGAGAAACTATGGTTGCCCTTCCCCACTTGGCCTTCTCTTGGCACTTTTGTTCTTTTTCCAGTAAGTTTCACAATTCAGTTCTAGAGAATCCGATCTATTCAGTTCAATGATTTTTTTCTACTTGGATTAACATGCGCTGCCCAGAGAAAACTGGCCTGCTTGGTGTCTACTTATCCTTAGCATGGACTGTCTCCTAGCAGCAGCCTTTGAGTAAAGTGGCAAGGATTGTAACTTGGAACATACTGTAGTCAGCATAGGCTGCCTAAAGCCTTTGTCACAAAAGCAAGCAGGCAAAAAGGCGATTTCTGAGAAAAACAAATAGTGCCAGGAAATGCCAGATGGACATGTGCAGTGTATTCTAACAGTGAGGCAATTGTCACATTGGTGGGATATGCTACCAGCCTAGCAGTGGTATCCCTGGGCTTCTCATTGCAAAGAACTCTGGAATTCTATTGTTTAGTTTAACCTATGAATCAAAAGCCTGATATTTCAAAGGAAGTATTAAGCCACAAGAAGTGCTGAGCACAGCTAGGGAGCTTCATTGGGAAGCACGTGGAGGTTGTTCTGTGTCATTCCTATCTCACCCCACCCCCCAAAAGCATTCTGGAACTTAAATGTGACCCTCTTTCTCTAGGAATCCAGAAGTAGAGGTAGCAACCCTTCAGATTCCGATCAGCACATATCTTATGCACTTGTCTTCCTTGATTCTT